TTTTTTATTTTTTTTATTTTTTTTTTTTTTTTAATTTTTTGTTTTATTTTAATTTATAATACTATTTAAATTTGTATACATATTAATTTATTTTATATATAAATAGTATAACATAATATTTTAATAACTTTTTTATTTTTTTATTTTATTTTTATTTTTTTTTTCAAATTAAATATTAATATTAATATTTTCTAAATTTTTTTATAATAGAAATTAATTATTAAAATCAAATCAGTTTTTAATTTAGTAGTAGTAGTATCAGCTAACTTTAGAGAAAAATAAAAGAGAAAATAATAACAATAGTGCAACAGTTTCAGAATTCTTTTTTTTATTTTTTTTTTAGTTCTTTATTTATATTTTTATTTTTTATTCAGTTTATTATCATAATTTTTTTTTTTGTCCGCTATAAAAAACAATGAATAATAACAATACAAATGAAAATATCTTTAATATTCCAATTGATGTAAATAGTACAAATAATAACTCAGTAAATAATAATAATAATAATAATAACCTTGTTGAAGGTAATAATAATAACTCTGTAAATATAAATCAAACTGTAAATAATAACACAAATAATAACATGATTGCCAACAATAATAATAATAACAATCCAATAGTTGTTGAAGATTTAATTATTCCACCACCAACAACTACAACCACAACAACAACTACAACAACAACCACAACCACACAAACAACAACATCATCGACAACTAATATTATAAATATCAGTGGTAATAATGCAGTTGGTACACCAAGTGGCAATAGTAATAATGCATATATAGGAAGTGGTAGTGGAAGTGGCAGTAATAGTAATGGGAATGGATCAAGTGGCAGCAGTAGTAGCATAACTGGCAGTGGTGGTACAAGCAGTGGCAGTGGTGGAAGTGGCAGTGGTATAAAACAAAACTCACAAAAGGTACAGTTAGAAAATACACCAACAAGAGGAGTTTGGATAGTGGAGATACCAAATTTTTCATCATATAAAGAAAGTTTTTATACACCAATTTTTAATTTATGTGAATCGAATTGGTAAGTCCATAGTTTAAATAGAATTAAAATTTTTTAAAAAATATATTAACTTTTTTTTTTTTTTTTTTTTTTTTTTTTAATTAAAATAGGAGATTATTAATATTCCCAGAGGGAAACAACAGCCCAGGAAATATCTCAATATTTTTAGACTATTACGATATTGGCATTAACCCCATGTTTCAAAAGGAGGCAACTCTAACTCTAACTCTTATAAATCAGTATGATGATTTAAAAAACGTTAAAAAAAGTTTGTATCACAATTTTTTAATTAAAATATTTTTATAAAAATTGTTTTTTTTTTTTTTTTAAAAAAATTTTTTTAAAAAAAATTATTTTAAAAACAAATTAAATGAAATTTCATTTTTATTAACTTTTTTTTTTTAAATTATTATTTTCAGCATCAAATCATATTTTTTCATTTAAAGGTGTAAATTGGGGATTCATTAGTTTTTTAAATTTACAAATTTTATTAAATCCAAATAATGGCTATTTAGTTAACGATAGATTAAAGATTAAAGTAGAAATTCATTCACCAAAAACCATCGATTTATCAGATCCAAACGATGTCAAACCTTATGGAAAGTTCTCATATCACTTAACAAACTTTTCACACCATTTTGAAAACTTTTATTCACCAACTTATTATGTTTGTGGTTCAAATTGGTAAGAATTATTATATAGAAAAACAACATTGTTATAACAGATATTAATAGTTTTATATTTTTTTTTTTTAATATTTTTTAGGAGAATATATATATTTCCAAACGGTTATTCATCACCAAATTATTTTTCAGTTTATTTAGATTTATTAGATGTTAAATTCAAACCGTTAATGGTTAAACATTTATTTTTTGCCATTGAAATTATAAATCAAAAGAATCCAGAAAAGAATTTAAAGAAATGGGTAGACCACATTTATGATGATAAGAATATGAATTTTGGGTTTCCCAAATTTGTATTGTTAACCACATTATTAAATCCAGAGTTAGGTTATATAGTTGACGATACCATCATCATTAATATCGAGTTTACAGTAATGTCCACAAATTTCCTTGAACCATCACCAAAGTAAATATAAATATAATATAGAAATAAATAAAAAAAAATAATAATAATATTAACAAAATAATTTTTCTAGTTTCGAAATCTCAACAAATTTAGGTCAACCAGATTGCGGTAAATTCCCCTTCAAAGCTAAAAAACAAGCAAATATTGATTTAATTTTCTCACCCACATTTGAAATTGCCGGATGTCTATGGCAATTAGTTAGTTATCCACTTGAAAATTTAACAGAGTACTTTTCAATTTATTTAGATCTTGTGGACATTAAAACCAAACCACTTTTAAGAAAACATATTTCATTTGCCATAGAAATTGTAAATCAAGATAATCCAAAAAAGAATTTTAAGAAATGTAACATATCTATTTATACATATATATTATTTATAATATTTTTAATATTAACACCACTTTTCTTTTAGATATCAGTAATATATATTCATACAATTCATTTAGCTGGTTATTCCAAAAGTTTATGAGAATCTCGACATTATTTAAACCAGAAAACGGATTTTTAAAAGATGGCGTAATTATTATCAATGTTGAATTAATTGTTATAGCATCAGACTTTTTAAGACCAATTCCATTTAATAATAATTCACTACCATATTTCAATTACCAAGCCAATCCATTAGCATTGCCTTCATCATCACCATCATCAGCCTCATCAACAACAGAATCCAATCAACTCTATTTGGCACCACCACAAAAAAGATTCTTAAAGAATATTATTAACAATGGTACAATAGGTGATAGTGAAAAATCAATGAAAACTGAAAAGAAACAAAGACAGGACCCATCATCATCCACATTATTACAAGATACACCAGATGAAGCAAATAATTACGGAGCTGACTCTATGGACATTGATAACAAAGAACCAAATATATCAAACCAATTAGAAGAAGTTTCTGGTTCATTCTTTTATAACATTGAAAAGTTTTCAACATTAGATAAAAACTTTTACTCTCCAGTTTTCAAACTTTATAACACTGATTGGAGATTTTACATTTTCCCAAGAGGTAACAGCGCTTCTGGTTTCTTTTCACTTTATTTAGATTACGTAGATCCAAAAACCAAACCAAAGATTAGACAGTATATCTGCTTTATTTTAGAAGTTGTTAATAAAGATAATAAAAAATCAGAAAAGAAATGTAAGTAGTTAATATTGGCAATAATAATAATTATTTAAAATCTAAATATTAATATTTTTTATTGTTTTATAGACTCATTCCATACTTTTTGTTATAGCAGTGTTAATTGGGGTTTTAAGAAATTTTTACCATTAGAAACCATAAAAAGAGAAGACTATGGGTTTTTGGACAATGACACATTGACAGTAAGAGTTACAATTTACTTTTTATCTCAAAATATTTTAGATACCAATCATTTACTATCATATTCAAATGAAACATCAAAACATATTCAATTATACAGCAAGAAAGATAAATCTGATTTGGTAGATGAAAATTCAGGTGCAGATAAATTAAAAAAGATGAAGGCTGATGAAGAAAACTTTTATTATCACACAATCAAACTAACATTAGATCATGATTTTGAAAAGAGTCAAAGCTTTGATTTAATCGATTTCACCAAACATAATCCAATCAAAATTAGAAAACTTTCAACACTTTTAGAATTAAAGTTACAAATTCAAATGATTTATGGTGTATCTTTTGAAAGACAAAGAATTTGGTTCTGGGATCCAACTCCAACCAAAGTTAGCAGAGTCACAAGAACTCCACTATTATTAGATGATGAAGATATATGTATGTACTTCCCACATAGTTATTTAATAACCATTTTTGTTTTAATTTTATTTACTAATATTTATTAAATCATAATTATAGTTTCTCAATATTTAAATATGCATGGTCAATCAACAGAAATGAGATTCCATTTAGAAGTTTCAAATTTACCACATCCAAATGAAAAAAATTTATTCTTTGACCCAATTAATAACGATTTAATATTGGTTTTCTTTAAATACTATGACCCATACAAGAAGCAATTAGAATTTATAACCACCAAAATATGTCACTCTCAATCACCAATTTCATGTTTAATTCCATTCTTAAATCAAAAATTAGGTAGTGCACCAAACTCTCCATTGTTGTTATTTGGTGAAGATTCTTTAAATGTCATTTATTGTTTAGATCCACATAGAAGTCTTAAATACTATGAAATTGTTAATGGTTCAATGATCATCTGTCAACGTTCTTTATCTATTCGCGAAAATGTACAATTCCCATACCTTACAGATTACTTCAACTTCACTTATAACAAGGTGGTCATCGCATTCCAAATCATCAACTACAAGAATATTAACTCTCAATCAGACTTAATATTCAGAATGGAGGTTTTGAAAGGTATGAAGTTTAAAGAGATTGTTAAAAGAATCTCCGAAATCATTCAAACTTTCCCTCAAAATATTAATTTATATTCATTATCAAATGGTGACTCTTCAAGAACTGATGTCAAACAAATTAATCCTCTCTCATTAGGTGAAAAAGCTGTTTACGATACTTTATTATCACAACAAAGAAAGGTTGATTTAGTTTTAGTTGAAGTTAAAGAAACCATCTTACCAATTCACTTTTTATCTTCATTGGATAAAACCAAAGTTTTCACCCTTTAACTTTTTCTTTTTCAATATTTCCAAATAATTAAATTAAATAATAATAAATAATAAATAAATAAACAAACAATAAATTATAATCAATAATTATAAATAATAATAATAATAATAATAATAATAATATTAATAATAATGAAGTCAATACCCAATCTAAAAATATTAAAACTCTTAATATTTTTTATTTTATTTTATTTTATTTTTTAATTAAAATTAAAATTAAAATTTAATCACCACAATCAATCTTAAATATAAATTAAATTTTTAAAAAATTGGAATTCATATCCTCCCCACCAATCTAATCAAATAAAAAACCAAACAAATAAAAGTGTATATATTTTTTTAAAAAATTTTTATTTATTTTTATTTTTATTTTATTTTATTTCCATTAGGGTTAATAAGTTGTTTCTTCAGGTCACTTAAACACAATGTGTTTAAGTGACCTGAATGTTTCTTTTTAAGTTTTTATTATGTGAATTATTTTAAATAAACCAAAAATGAAAAAATATTAAGAAAAAAATTTTATTATATTTTTAATTTTTTTTTTTAAAATTTTTTTTTTTTAATTAAAATTTTTTATAATTTAATTTTTATTTTTTTAACAATCACACAACTTTTTTTTATTTTTTTTTTGTATTTTTTAAATTATAATATCTCATTGTATTATTGTTAAATATTTATTTAGAATTGTAGATAATAGGAAAAAATAATATAAAATTTTATATATTTTTTAAAGATAATGGCAGGAAATTTAGAAAGATTGTTTGAAAAATGGCAAAATTCTTTAAATGAAGCAGAGGATTTCATTTGGTTAGAATCCACCAAAGCATCAATAAACTTATTATATAAAGGTCATTCTATTACAATAGGTTTTCCAACTGACATTAATGATATAAAAGGATTTGTAAGTATGACCCATAAATAGTTTTAAATTTAAAAAATCCTCTCTAATATAACTTTTTTATTTTATTTAAATATACAGACTTTTTCAAGTAAAGAAAAACCTATTGATCAATGGATAAGTAAAGTTAATTCAGAGATTCAAAATAATAGCTCTATAAACTCGTTCACTGATATTTTATCAATGTCACTAGATAAATATAATAATGTATGTTTTTATTTACAAAAAAAAATAAAGATATTTGTAATTTATTAATTATTTTGGTTTAATTTTAGAAAAATAAAATCGAATCGGATCAAGAGGTTTTAGATGAAGTTGAAGATGAAGATAGTAATATGGGTGATCATGAAAGTGGAAATATGGAGGATATCGAAGAAAATGATTTTGATGATGAAGAGGATGAAGAAATTGACGAATATGAGGATTTAAATGACGAAACATTTGATGGTGATCAATTCCAAGAAGCGTAAGTTTACATAATTTTTAAAGATATATATTTAAAGATTTACATACTGACAGTTTTTATTTTATACAGATTACAAACATTAAAAATGAAAAAAATATGGGCTAAAAAGGATCAAGAAATTAGAGCTAAACTTGGGGAAAGAAAAAAGAATGATAAAGTAAAGACTATTTTCAGTAGTGATGCTGCTTTTGGTGTTTTAACAAATGATCTTTTTAATATTATGCAAAATGTTCATTCTTTAGGTTTTTCAGCAACACCAATCGAAGACAATATTTATTATTGGTCTGTTAAAATTTTTGATTTCGAAAAAGATTCAAAAATTAGTCAACAACTTCAACAAATTAAAAAAGAGTTTGGTTATGTAAGTAATTATTTAATTATATATATAGTATAATAACAATACTAATACTAATAATACACATATATTATAGGACTATATCGAATTGCAAGTTTTATTCACTGAAGATTTATATCCATTTTATCCACCAACTATTAAATTAATTAGACCAAGATTACAAGGTTTTCTTTTAGGAAGAATATCACATTTAGAAATTTTAAAACTAGATAATTGGAACCCAAGTAAGATATTTTATATTTATTTTTACACTGCTCTAAACTCATATTAATAATTTTTAATTATTTTTTTAGTATGTGATATGAGATTTGTACTCAATCATTTAAAAGAAGTACTTCAAAAGTATGGATCATTGGATGTCAATAACCCAATGAATGCAACTTCTAATACCGGATCATATTCAACATTAGAGCATAGTTTATTAAGATTAGAACTTCTTAGTGACACTGAACCAAGAGCAAATATGAAATATGGTATAGAAAGTACTATGATCAAGCCAGTAAAAGCTTCACCAACACCTATTACTAATACCAAAACCCCAGGTAAAAGAGATCCATTCGATAAAGAATGTTGGGCCAAAGGCACTGGTTATGGAAGAGGTAGCTCAAAGAGTGGGTGGAATGTTGATGCTTTTCTTGCAGCTCAAAAAGAAAGAGATAACGAAATTAAAGGCTTACTTTGTATTATCCAAGAAGAAATTGAAAAAAATCGACCTCCACTCGATGTACTAGAAGAATCATGTTTAATCCCATTCATAGAAAGTTATTGCCGTGAAATCTCATTACTGGATGTTGAAAGACATTCCGAAATTTGGTCCACTCTCTTTAAACTTTTAAATACTCTTTTAGACTATGATATTTATATTTCTGTATTCTGTCAACTTCAATTCCAAACAAGATCATTGGGTGACTACATTAATGATATTTCAAAACAAATTACATTGTTTTTAAAGAGAATAAATGATCAAAAGTAACTAATAATATTATTTATTAATATAAAATCGCATATAAATATTAATACTAATTCAAAATTTAATTATTATCAATATTTAAAACTATAGGGATCCAAATTCAAAACTATATGAATCCATTATCAAAGTTAACGAAAAAATGAATAATAGAATAAATCAATTAAATGATGAATTAAAAGCATTAGAACAAAACAGAACAAAATTAACAATTAGTGAAACAAATGAAAATGTAGAGGATCAATATATTAAAGTATTAAAACCATATCTTTTCGACTCTGGCAACATCGTAACAAACAAAGCCAAAACGGCATCATCACAAAAAAGAACCATAAGAATTGCACAAGAGCAAGCATCATTAATTAAATCTTTACCATTTAATTTCGATAGTAGTGTTTTCGCAAGGGTTGATGAAGATAATATAGACTGTATGCAAGTTTTAATTACTGGTCCAAAAGATACTCCTTACAGTGGTGGTTGTTTCTTATTTAGTGTTAATTTTCCACAAGATTTCCCCGACTCACCACCACATGTTTTGCTTTTGACAACTGGTGGTGGTACAGTACGTTTTAATCCAAATCTTTATGCCAATGGTAAGGTTTGCCTTTCTTTATTAGGTACTTGGTCAGGAAATGCAGGTGAAACTTGGAATGCAAATACATCCACACTTTTACAAGTATTCGTTTCAATTCAATCATTAATTCTTGTACCTGATCCATTCTTTAATGAACCAGGTTACGAATCTCAAATAGGCAGCAGAACAGGTAAAGTTAACTCTCTCAACTATAATCAAAATTTAATTCCTTCAACTGTTGATTTTGCAATGATCGAAATGATTAAAAAACCACCTCCTGTTTTTAAAGATATCATTACTGCTCACTTTTATTATCAACGTCAAAAAATTAAACAACAATGTGATCAATGGATTGAACAATTTAAAGAATCTAAAAAAGATGTCACTAAATTTTTAAAATCTGTAAACACTTTGACTGAAGAATTAAATAAATTACAAAAACCAAATCTTTAGAAAATGATCAAATAATAATAATAATAATACTAATAATAATAATAACAATAATAAAAAATAGTCATCAAAATAATATTTAATTAATTTTTCAATAAAATTTTTTTCATAAATTATTTATTTTTTATTTCGTCTATTTTCGCTGTGAGGTTTTATATTACATCTACGATATCTTTTTTAATAATGTGCTTGCATATGCTACGTTTTAAAAACTTTTTTTTTGACTATAACTACTTTTAAAAAAAAAAAAAAAAAAAATTCGATATCATAACTGACTGTTATATTATTTTCAAATAATTTTTTTATTTTTTAAATTTTTTTTAAAATTATTTAAAAATTTTTGTTTTTTTTTTTTTTTTAAAAAATTTCATATCCACACCTAATGCCAAACCTCACATTAATTTTTAATATAACCAAGATACCACAGCACAACGTTTAAAACATATATACATTTACTATATATATATATTTCACATTATTATAATAAAAATAAATAACAAGTTTTAACATCAAATCTTAAAAAAACTTATTCATTATTTATTTCAATATCATACATATAAATTAAATACATATTCCCCCACATAAATTTAACACACTTCACATATTATATATACACATATATTTTAAAAAAAAAATTTTATTTACATTTTATTATTTAATATTAAATTCAAACTATTAGTTTTTTTTTTTTTTTTTTTTTTTTTACAATAGAAATAAAAAAATAGTAATATTTATATAAAATTAGAATGAGCCAACACAATACCCCAACACACAACAGTCATAATAATGGTAATAATGTAAATAATGGTCAGTTAGATAGTAGAACAGAGGCCCAAGTGTTTAAAGAGCAAGTAAAGGCCCCATAGATCAATATTTTGGGAAATCAAAAAGAGTTAAGGGAATTTTCTTTTATTGGTTTATATTATAAAAAATTCTAAAATAAAAAATTAATATTTTTTTTAAATTTTTTTTTTTTAGGCTCAATTAAAAGATTTAAAGGATGAAAATAATAATCTTATTAAAGAAACAAAAAAATATCAAAATCGTATTAATGAAGAATCTGGTGTAGCAGAGTTATTACAAGAAGAGGCATTACTTTTAAAAAAAATCGTTAATGACAGAGATAGTGAAATTAGAGAACTAAATAAAGTTATTAATACTCATTTAGAATCAATTTCAAATTTAAAACAAGTATGTTATCAACATTATTAAAAACTATATATATTACTAATATTTAAATGGATTCTAACTATTTTTTATTTTAAAATTATTAGGATATTCAAAAAGGTTTAGATCAAATTGAATTAGTACAAGATTTAAAAAATATATTACAAATCTCTGAAAGAGAACTAAAGCACGAGTTAGCAGGTGTTAAAGATACTTTATTGGCAGAATCTGAAAGTCACCTACAAGTTAAAGGAGTATTAAAAGAGACTCAAGAAGCATTACAAAGTGAAATCAAACAACACAAGGAAAATGTAGAAAGATTAGAAGGAGATATCAAAACAAACCAAGAGCAAATCGAAGATTTAAAGTCCCAAATTGAAGCAGCTACAAATCAACAACAAAAGTTAATTGGTGAAATTGATGGTTTACAAAATAATATTAATCAACTTAATGCTCAATTAAATCAGTTAACTTCAGAAAAGGAAAAATTACAATTGGAGTTAAATTCAGAAAAACAAAAATATGAAAATTTAGAAGTATTACACAAAGAGTTAACTGAAAAGAATCAAGAGCTTGTCAACACTATCGAAAAAGAATTAGAAATCAAATTAGCTTTAGAAGACCAACTAAAACAATTAACTGAAAACCATCAATCATTAAATGAAACTCTTGAAAAAGAAAAACAACTAACCAAACAATTACAACATGAAAAAGAAACAATAGATCAATTAGTTTTACAATTAAATACAGACAAGCAAGATCTTTTAAATCAACAACAATCACTTGAAAATAACAATAAATCATTAGAATCCCAAATAGAAGAGTCAAAAGTACAATACCAACAACTACAACAAGAAAAAGAAACTATTAGTAATGAAAAAGCAAGATTAGAACAAGAAAAAGATACATTAGAGTGTAATATCAAAACATTAACAGATGAGCTTGATTCAAAGGTATCATTTATCGACGAGTTAATTCAAGTAAAGAACAATTTGGATTTAGAAATCGAATGTGTAAGAAAATCGCATATTAAGGAAATGGAAGAGCTTACTTTCCAAATTCAAACCCAAAAGGCCCAAATTGAATCTGATAAATTAGAGCTAGTGGATAAACAAAGTGAAATTGAGCAATTACAAAAAGAAAGATCAACCAGTACTCAAGAGATTCAAGAACTCACAAATAAAATTGAAGATAATCAAAAACAACTTGAAGAAAAAGAAAAAGAAATAGAGGAATTAGAAAAGAACCTCGAAGAAAAAGAAACAGAGTTAACCAACACCTCCAGAGCTTTACAAAAGGTTGAATATGAAAAAGATGCTCTTTCACACGAGAATGAATCCATCAGAGATATGGTATCCCAAAGTGCAATCAAAGGTTTAGATGAATTAATTAACTCTCAAAAAGATACCTATCAAAAAGAGGTTCAATCATTAAACTTTTCCATCCTTGAAAAGAACAACGCTATCGAAGATAAAGAAAAAGAAATTTCTCAACTCCAAGACAACCTTAAAGAGATGACAGAGGAACTTGACGAGCAAAAAAAGAGAATTGAGCTCGAAATAAAGAAACGTGAAGAAGAACTAAACAAATTTGAAGAAGAAAAAGAAAAAATCAATAGAAGACATGTCGAGGAACAAGTTGATAGTGAACAAGCAGCAGAAAAAGTAGTTAGTGACCTTAAAGCTATCATTGACAATATCGTAAATGAAAAGGATCTTATTCAATCAGAAGCCAATAATTTAGCTCAAAGATTATCAAACGAAATCGATAAGTCGAACGATATGGAAAAACAAGTTAAAGATTTACAAAAAGAAATTGAGTCAATGCTAACCACCAGAGATAATTTAATTAAAGAGCTCGAAGAAATTCAATCTAAAAATACATATGGTGCCAATAAAGAAACAGAAGATCGTTTACAGCAAGAGCTTCAAGAAATTAAACTTAAACAAAAGGAGCAAGAGGATCGTTTCAGCGCTGAAAGACAAACATGGGAATCAAATCGTTGGGAAATCGTTGCCGAATTAGAACAAGAAAAAACAAAAAACAAAAAGATTCAAGAAGGTTTAATTGAAGAGAAGAGAAGATTAGGTGTAGTTAGTAAAACTGTTTCAAAGCTTTTAGACGATAATGAAAAACGTTCATTCGAATCAATGACACCAGAATCATTTTATGCAATGCTTGAAGCTACCAAAAAGGAACTTGATGAAGGTTTACATCATAAGAAACAATATTACGATGATGAAGATTTAATGGGTCAATTATTAATGGAAAGAGAAGCCAGAAGACTAGCCGAATCTCAAGTTGAACATTTTGCAGTACTTTTAGAAAAGAGTAAATCTGAAATTGTCAAATATAAAGAAATTATAAACAATGGTTCAAATAATTCAAGTAAAACTGGTTTCTTCTCTAATCTTTTAAATAATAACAACAGCAATAATAACTTTATTACAAGAACCTTTACTGGAACAAACTATAATAAAAAATAAAATTAAAAAAAAATAAAAAAATAAAAAAATTTAAAGATAAAGGTTTAACTAAACCCAAATGTAAGAGTTAGAGCTAGAGTTGCAAATGAAATGTTTATTATATTTATTTTTATTTCCAATTATAATTAATTGTATCTATTTATTATATTTAAAAAAGAGTTTGGTATTGGGAGTTTATATTTATAAGGTAATGATATTTGAGTAACAGATTGTGGAATGGTAGCTGGGTCTATAGGTTGATCAAATCCATTTTTAAATGTTAATTTAGTGAGAGATTCTGGTAATACACCTACTTGAAGAGGACTAGATAACTTAGGTAATGTTAAATATGTAACTGAATTGGGGATAGTACCTACTTGAAGAGGGTGGGAATATTTTTTGGGTAGTTCTAAATCTACTACAGAATTGGGTATGGTATCGACTTGAAGAGGTTGGGAATGGTTATTTGGGAGTATTAGTTTTTTTACTGATGGTGGTATTGAATGAGTTTGAAATCGAATTAGATTTAAAGTATAATCAATATTCGATTCGAAATGCAGTTTTGTAATTGATGATGGTAAATCATTTTCCAACAATTCATTTGAATGGTTTGATATAACTAAATGTTGTAAAGTATTTGGGAATAAATGTTTACCAAGATTACAATTGTACGATGTTAGCTGTAAATTTTTCACATTTGGTGGTATTACTTGTGGTTCTAATGGATGGTTATATGCATTTAAAATGAGATTAATTATTGAGTGTGGGAATGTTTCGATCGATATCTCTTGGTTAAAACTTGGTAAATAGAGTGTTTTTAATGAATTTATGGTTGATAGAGAGTTGGATAATAGGTGATTAAAGTGTCTCATACGTAGTGCAGTGATTGATTCTGGAAATACACCACCAGATAGTGGTAGATTAAAACTTTCTAAATCGAGTGTTTTTAATGAATGTAGTGTTGATAGAGAGTTGGATAATGGGCGATTAAGGTTGTTCATACGCAGTAAAGTGATTGATTCTGGAAATACACCATCTGAAGGTGGGTGATTATATTTATTTAAAAAGAGATTAGTTATTGATGGTGGAAGTACATTTGGTTTTATTACTTGATTAAAACTATTAAAAAATAATGTTTCGATTGAGTGTGGAAATGTTTGGATTGATATCTCTTGATTAAACCTTGGTAAATGGAGTACTTTTAATGAATGTAGCTCTGATATAGAGTTGGATAATGGGTGATCAAAATGGATCATGCTTAGTTCAGCGATTGATTCTGGAAGTACACCGTGTGATAGTGGGTGTTTAAAGTTTATTAGTTCTAATTCTTTTAATTCAGGGGGAAGAATATTTGGTTGGAGCGGTTGATTGTAAGAGCCCAGATATAGATATTTACATGTTATAGGTAAGTCACCGGCTTTTAAAGGTTGATTAAAGGATTCTAGGGATAAATCTACAATTGAACCAAATGAACCAGGTGTAATTGTTCTATTGAAATTATTTTGCTTTAATGCAGTTAATGATTGTGGGAAAGTTCCAATTAATATATCTTGATCTAGTTCCATTGTTAAACTGGTAAGCGATGGTGGTAATGTATTTGGTGAAATTTCTTGATTTATTCCGAGACTCAATTCAGTAACACTTGGTGGGATAACTGATTTAATATCGAAACGATGTGAATAATAAACATTACAAAATCCTATATCCGTATTAGAAAATTGTAAAGAAGTGACAGTTGTTGGAATATCGCCTGCTTGGATTGGTTTATTAAAACTACTATAAAATTTTAATTTGGTTGTACCATAGGGTATTAATTGACCATGTGGTTCTAATGGTTCATTAACATTAATTATAATTTTTGTTGCATATCTTCTATGTGGATGGTATCTAAGTTGATCCATTGATTTGTCAATATAAATTTTTTTATTTTCATTATATAACCTGTGATGTCTTTGTATTTCATTTAATATAACCTTGTTTCTCCACACTGAAAAAAATAATATTTCATTTTTATTATTATTATCTATATCTGTTTTTATAATTGATTCTAAATTATGTGTGTGATTATAATTATTATTATTATTACTGTCTATTCTGTCATTATAATAATTATTATTCATTCTAATATTTATAGGTTGATCAAAAATTTTGTTTTGAATTATTTTTTCTTAAAAAAATATGAATAAATTTTTATGAAAAAATAAATTTAAAAAAAATTAAAAAAATTAAATATCTCATATAGTAAAAACCGGTCAAATTTTTAATAATATTTAAAAAATTAAAATTTTTTTTTTGATATAAAATTTTGGAATAGTAAGTTGACCAAATATGTACCTAAAGGTTACTTTGGTGAGAGATTCTTGTAAAACACCCACTTGAAAAGGGTGATAATAATCACAAAGAAATCTTAAATCAAAAACTGAATTAGATATAATACCGATTAGAAGAGGATGGCATTACGAACAAGATAATAATAAATTCACAAAAGAATTGGCAATTACACCGAATTGAAGAGACTGCTTTAAGGTTTTTGGTTGTCTTAATCTTAGCCCTATAAACTCCACATTTAGCGGTATTACTTGTGGTTCTAATGGATGTAATATTCATTTAAAATGAGAATAGTTATTGATGGTAAAAGTACATTAGGTTTTAAAACATGATTAAAACAACATAAAACTCAAATATAATAAAAAAGATTTAAACAAAAAATAAAAAACAAAAAACAAAAAAAACAAAAAATTTAAATTTTACAAGTAATTTAAGCGTTTATTATTTAATTATTTGTAAGAGTTAGAGCTAGAGTTGCAAAAGAAATGTTTATTGTTTTCATTTTTATTTGATTTCGAATTCAAATTATTCATATTTAATTATATTTAATAAAGATTTTGGTATTGGGGGTACATATAATTTAGGTAATGATATTTGAGTAACAGATTGTGGAATGGTAGCTGGGTCTATAGGTTGATCAAATCCTCTTCTAAATATTAATTTAGTGAGAAATTCTGGTAATACACCTGCTTGAAGAGGACTAGATAACTTAGGTAATGTTAAATATGTAACTGAATTGGGTATAGTACCTACTTGAAGAGGGTGGGAATATTTTTTGGGTAGCTGTAAATCTACTACTGAATTGGGTATAGTACCGACTTGAAGAGGTTGGGAATGGCTATTTGGGAGTATTAGTTTTTTTACTGATGGTGGTATTGAATGAGTTTGAAATCGAATTGGATTTAAAGTATAATCAATATTCGATTCGAAATGCAGTTTTGTAATTGATGATGGTAAATCATTTTCCAATAATTCATTTGAATGGTTTGATATAACTAAATGTTGTAAAGTATTTGGGAATAAATGTTTACCAAGATTACAATTGTATGATGTTAACTTTAACTTTTCCACGTTTGGCGGTATTACTTGTGGTTCTAATGGGTGGTTATATGAATTTAAAATGAGCTCATTTATTGATGGTGGAAGTTCATTTGGTTTTATAACTTGATAAAACAATGGTAAATCGAGTACTTTTAATGAATGTAGTGTTGATAGAGGGTTGGATAATGGGTGATTAAAGTCGTACATACGTAGTGCAGTGATTGATTCTGGAAGTATACCGTCTGAAAGTGGGTGGTTATATTTATTTAAAGAGAGAATTTTTATTGATGGAAGTTCATTTGGTTTTATTTCTTGATTAAATTTTTGTAATTTGAGTGTTTTTAATGAATGTAGTTTTGATAGAGAGTTGGATTATGGGTGATTAAAGTTCATACTTATTAAAGTGATTGATTCTGGAAATACACCATCTGAAGGTAGGTGGCTATATGCATCTAAATAGAAACTAGTTATTGATGGTGGAAGTTCATTTGGTTTTATTACTTGATTAAACATTGGTAAATCGAGTTCTTTTAATGAATGTAGTGCTGATAAAGAGTTGGATAACGGGTGATCAAATTCGTTCATGCCTAGATCAGCGATTGATTCTGGAAGTACACCGTGTGATAGTGGGTGGTTAAAGGATGATAAAAATAATATTTCTAATTGAGGCGGAAGAATATTTGGTTGAAGGGGTTGATTGTAAGAGACAAGATATAGATATTTACATGTTATCGGTAAGTCACCAGCTTTTAAAGGTTGATTAAATGATCCTAGGGATAAATTTACAATTGAACTAAATGAACCAGGTATAATTATTCTATTGAATTTATTTTGTTTTAATGCAGTTAATGATTGTGGGAAAGTTCCAATAGGTATATCTTGATCTAGTTCCATTGTCAAACTGGTAAGCGATGGTGGTAAAGTATTTGGTGAAATTTCTTGATTTATACCGAGATGCAATTGAGTAACACTTGGTGGGATAACTGATTTAATATCGAAACGATGAGAATAATAATCATTATTAAATCCTGATTTGTTTGCTAAAAATTGTAAAGAAGTGACAGTTGTTGGAATATCGCCTGATCGAATTGGTTTATTAAAACTATTAAAAAATTTAAATAAGAATTTTAATTTGGTTGTACCATAGGGTATTAATTGACCATGTGGTTCTAATGGTTCATTAACATTAATTATAATTTCTGTTGCATATCTTCTGTGTGGATGGTATCTAAGTTGATCCATTGATTTGTCAATACATATTATTTTATTTTCATTATATAACCTGTGATGTCTTTGTATTTCATTTAATAGATACTTGTTTCTCCACACTGAAAAAAATAATATTTCATTTTTATTATTATCAATTTCTGTTTTTGTAATTTTTTTTTCATTTTTTTCTTTTTTCTTTTCTTCATCTTCCTCCTCTTTTTTTCTTTTTTTGTCTTCTTTTTCCTCCTCTTTTTTTCTTTTTTTTTCTTCTGTAACTTGATCCATCATTTAAAAAAGAAAAAAAAAGAAAAAAAGAGGAGGAAAAAGAAAATTTTTAACAAAAAAAAGAAAAAATAGGTGAGTTTTTTTAAATTTTTGCAAAGATATCCATCATATTACCAATCAAAAAATCCTGAATAACATTGTGTAATCTTGTCAAAGCTTTATAAAAAAACAGTTTTTTCTTATGAACCAAATGGCTTAGTTACTTTTTTCAATTAATTCAATTTTGATATATAAAAATAAAAAATAGTTATATTGATAAATTATAAAATTTAAAAAAAAAATACATGCCAGATAATTTTGTATGAAATAAATTTTTTTTTTTATTTTTTTTTTTTGGTGAAATTTTTAATAAAAATTTTATTTAAATTTTTAATATTTTTTTTTTTTTACACAAAATTTTATATTTTTAATCTTTTTTTACTATTTTTTTTACTATTTTTTTTACTATTTTTTGGGTATCTATTGATAATTATTACTCAAACAAACTGAAATCTCCGTTAATAAAGGTTTATTATTGTAAAATTACAAATTTTACTAGTTTTGGTAAACAAAGAAACTCCAAACGAAGATGGCTACTGCCGCGTGGCAGTATTCTATTATTTTGGTTGTTCTTTGGCCACTGAAAATTTAGTATAAATAAAATAAAATAATTTATTAAAATTTTAATCTGTGAAAAATAATTAATAATAATAATTTTAAACAAATAATAATAAATAAATAATAATAATGTCATTTAAAGAGTGTTACTTTTGTGAAGAGATGCAAGAAATATTTGTATTCAACTATCATGTACTAACATGTGCATTAAAAACAGCAAAAAAATATCATGTAGATTATCGTGAAGCCATAAATAAGACACTAGAAGAACTTGGTGAGAATTATCAACTTCAAAATGTACATAAAAAACAAAGATCTGATTTAGGATTTGATTCAAATGATTTACATTCATCGCCATCAAGTAGTAATACTTCATTACCAATTTCACCACCAATTTCACCAGCGAGAGCTTTATATCCATCAATTTCCCCTATGGTACCACAAATAGAATACCCTCAACCACTAGTTGAAAACTATTCGGTTGTTTAAAATAATCATCTTGGTGGTATATCATGTATTGCTGCTAAGTGTACGCAAAGGGTTACATCATCCAACCAAACCAATTTTGCTATAGTCATAGAAAAAGGTAATTAGATTTTAAAATCTATATTTTTATAAATATTATTATATGACAACAATTATACTAATATACGAACTGTTTTAGACCACCTCAAATTTCCAATTCAAGTATGTGAATCTGGTAAACACTTTAAAGATGTTTATCAAACTAATAGATTAATTAATATTTTTAAAGAAGCATTTGAAAGAGCTGGAATAGACTCTTTTTCCAACATAGACATGAATTCACCAGATTTATGTTTCCATGGATCGAAAAAAAGAGGTGGGTGTACTAATTATGTTGGTCAACATTTTTACATATACTCCGAATATTTTAATTCCACTTATTATTATTGTGGACCTTCATGTCTAATTAATCATTTGGGTAATATATCAACAACTAATTGGAGAAAAATGCACAGAACTTCTCATAGTGAAGAGAATAATCCTTATGAAGGTGAAGGTACAGCTGAGGATGAAGATGGTACAGGCCAAGATGAAGATAATGGAACATCTGGAAGTAATAGTATTGCTAGAGGCAGTGGTACTACTAGAGGTGGTATTACTAGAGGTGGTGTCACTAGAGGCAGGGGAAGAGGCAGGGGAAGAGGTGGTTCTACTATTAGAATGAGAGGAGCAAATAATATTGGCCCAGAATTCAAATAAAAATTTGAATTTTTTTTTAAAAAAAGATGGAAAAAAAAAAATATTTCCACAAAATTTTTTTTCTATTGTAATAATTAAAAAATATTTCAAAATGGCAAAAAAATTAAAGAGATCACAAGCACACTTAGAGGAGAATATTGAAAGAAGGATTTCTGCGGCATTTGAATCATTTGAAAATGGTAACAAGCTATCCAAAGTATGTAAAAAATTTAATTTAACAAAAGGGTGTTTGCAATACCAAAGGAAAAAAATGCTAAAAGGTGGAACAACCGCAATGCAAGGAGGTAAAAAACAAAAATTGGTTAAATTTGATGAATTTCATACTTTATTACTTAAATTGATGGTGGCAGAATTAATCAAACAAAACCCACTAATCAATAGAACTGAATTGGCACAAGAAATTAATGAAATGAAAATGTTCGACCACCCAGTAACCAAAAGACGAATCACTGACATATTCCGTTTGCTCGGATATAGTTTCCGAACACCAATTTATAAAAATGTAAGTTATAATTGCATTATTTAATCATCAAAAAATACTTATTTATTACAAATAGATAAATAAATTTACAAATGAAAATCTCCTCAGGTACCATGACTTTCTCGTTTTCGCCTATACCGTTGATTGGAACTTAATTCACTGATGAGTGTTCTTTTTGTTCAAAAGATTTGCGTAGAACACGTGCACTTGGGCCAAGAAATAAGGAAAGAATAGTTTCTGTTAAAGAAAACCTATCTGAATCCTATAATGGGTTTTTTATAATCAATCATTTTGGCGATGTACTTTATAAGCTTAGAAAAGAAACCAATAATACTGAAGATTTTGTTCACTTTCTTGGTGAGTCTCTTCAAAGTGGATTTTTTCCACCAGGCTCCGTTCTCATTTTGGATAATGCCCCAATCCATGGAGGTGTTGAAGCTATTCCAATTCTTATTGAAATGTTTGAAGCACATGGTTGCACTCTTGCCTACCTTCCAACATATTCACCAGAGCTAAATCCAATCGAACTGTATTTCTTAAAAAAATATTAAAAAATTTTTATTAAAAAATAAAATTAAATCCTAATATTTAAAAATTTTTGTTTTTTGATATAAAATTGTAAGTTGACCAAATCTTATCCTAAGGTTACTTTGGTGAGAGATTCTTGTAAAAAACCCCCTTGAAAAGGGTGATAAAAAAAAAAAAAAAAAAAAAAAAAAAAAATTAAATTTTACAAGTAAAATAAGCATTTAATTAATTACTTGTAAGAGTTAGAGTTAGAGATGCAAAAGAAATGTTTATTATTTTCATTTTTATTTTATTTTCAATTATAATTAAGCGTATCTATTTATTTTTATATTTAATAAAGAGTTTGGTATTGGGTGTTTATAATTATAAGGTAATGATATTTGAGTAACAGATAGTGGAATGGTAGCTGGGTCAATAGGTTGATTAAATCCTCTTCCAAATGTTAATTTAGTGAGAAATTCTGGTAATACACCTACTTGAAGAGGACTAGATAATTTAGGTAATGCTAAATATGTAACTGAATTGGGTATAGTACCGACTTGAAGAGGTTGGGAATGGTGATTTGGGAGTATTAGTTTTTTTACTGATGGTGGTATTGAATTAGTGTGAAATCGAATTGGATTTAAAGTATAACTAATATTCGATTCGAAATGCAGTTCTGTAATTGATGATGGTAAATCATTTTCCAACAATTCATTTGAATGGTTTGATATAACTAAATGTTGTAAAGTATCTGGGAATAAATGTTTACCAAGATTACAATTATATGATCTTAACTCTAAATGTTCCACGTTTGGCGGTATTACTTGTGGTTCTAATGGGTGGTTATATGAATTTAAAATGAGCTCAGTTATTGATGGTGGAAGTACATTTGGTTTTATAACTTGATTAAACCATGATAAATAGAGTACTTTTAATGAATGTAGTGTTGATAGAGAGTTAGATAACGGGTGATCAAAGTCGTTCATACGTAGAAAATTGATTGATTCTGGAAGTACACCGTCTAAAAGTGGGTGGTTATATTCGTCTAAAGTGAGATTAGTTATTGATGGTGGAAGTTCATTTGGTTTTATAACTTGATAAAACCTTGGTAAATAGAGTACTTTTAATGAATGTAGTGCTGATAGAGAGTTGGATAATGGGTGATCAAATTCGTTCATGCTTAGTTCAGTGATTGATTCTGGAAGTACACCGTATGATAGTGGGTGGTTAAAGGATGATAAAAATAATATTTCTAATTGAGGTGGAAGAATATTTGGTTGAAAGGGTTGATTGTAAGAGCAAAGATATAGATGTTTACATGTTATCGGTAAGTCACCAGCTTTTAAAGGTTGATTAAAGGATTCTAGGAATAAATCTACAATTGAACTAAATGAACCAGGTATAATTGTTCTATTGAATTCATATTGTTTTAATGTAGTTAATGATTGTGGGAAAGTTCCAATTGGTATATCTTGATCTAGTTCCATTGTTAAACTGGTAAGCGATGGTGGTAATGTATTTGGTGAAATCTCTTGATTTATACCGAGATGCAATTGAGTAACACTTGGTGGGATAACTGATTTAATATCGAAACGATGAGAATAATAATCATTATTAAATCCTGATTTGTTTGCTAAAAATTGTAAAGAAGTGACAGTTGTTGGAATATCGCCTGCTTGAATTCGTTTATTTAAATTTTTAAAAAATTTAAATAAGAATTTTAATTTGGTTGTACCATAGGGTATTAATTGACCATGTGGTTCTAATGGTTCATTAACATTAATTATAATTTCTGTTGCATATCTTCTGTGTGGATGGTATCTAAGTTGATCCATTGATTTGTCAATACATATTATTTTATTTTCATTATATAACCTGTGATGTCTTTGTATTTCATTTAATAGATACTTGTTTCTCCACACTGAAAAAAATAATATTTCATTTTTATTATTATCAATTTCTGTTTTTGTAATTGAACCTAAATTATTATTATTACTGTCTATTCTGTCATTATTATTATTCATTTTAATATTTATAAGTTGATTGAAAATTTTGCTTTGAATTTTAAATAAAAAATTTTAAAAAATATATATATATTTTAAAAAATATTTTTTAAAAAAAAAAAATATATATATTTTAAAAAAAAAAAATTGGTAATTTATAAAAAAATAATAAAAAAAAAAAAAAATTAAAAAAATTTAAAAAAAAAAAATATAGATTTTATAAAAATTAAATTAAAATCACATCAAAATAAAAAAATAAATACCAAAAAAAAAAAAAAGAAAGAATATTAGTACCATATGGATAGGTGGTTATATGCATTTAAAATGCTACTAGTTATTGATAGTGGAAGTACATTTATATTGTATTAATTATGATTTTGGGAAGTTTTCCAATAGTAATATCTTGTGCTGAGTTAGTTAAGCTTGTAAGTTATGGTGGAATTGTATTTAATGTGACCTATTGTTTAGCACAGATTCTCCCAGTCAAAACTAATTATACAGAATGAATTTTTAAATCGATTTAAATATTTTAAGAAATTATTCAATACAAATCTATAATACTGACTATTTACATAACCTATCTGTAATTACAATACTGTATCCCTTGTAATTTTTGTTGTTGGCAAATTCATATATCCATTGCTATATCATCTCATGGAGGTCCGAAAGTTAAGGTGGATTTAACATACCATATTTGTTTTCTTTGATTGTTAACACTCCATTCATCCCGCATAAGTAACTATTTTATACCAAAATTTTTCTAACATTTAAACCTGATCTTGTTCAACCAATTTTCCCTGATAAGCTGTTGAAAAAATGATAACTCCATAATTATGGAGTTATTAAAAAAAATTTGGTATTTTATATGAATAGTTTTTTTTTTTAATAATTATTTATCTATAGTTTAATTAGTAATCTTTTATATATTTATAAACAAAAATATTTATTACATAATTTATTTTTATTTTTTTTAAATAAAAAATAAAAAAAAAAACAGTTTAAACTATATAAATAATACATTGAGAACATTATCATTATTATGTTTATATTTATTCACACATTTTATTATAAAAGAAATATTACATTCATTTGTTATTATTTTGAAATATATTAAAAATACCCTTTTTAAATAATTACAATAAACATCAATCACAATATATTTATTATTATTTTAAATAATAAAATTATTTTTTTTTTATTTATTAATTTTTTTTTTTATTTAAAATTTATTCTTTAAAAATTACACCCTTCAGTTCTATAATCACCAGAATACTTATTTTTTCAGTTTTGGAAATAATTCAGACCATATCAACAATGAATAATAATATCTCCAAAAAGTTTTCATTGTTCATATGGTCCAAGTTACTTCCAAAACTATTGGAATCTAAGTTAGGTAATAATTATAAATATTTTTACACTTAATAATTTATATACTTCTTATTTTCTTTATTTGTCGTGTATTCATAATAAACTCATCACATTTGCTCAACTATATAGAAAAGAGGTAAAAAAAGTTAAAGAAAATTTTGTTAGGGGTTAAAAAAAGAAAAGAGGTTAAAAAATGAAAGAAAAGTATAATTATAATTTTTTATTTTTTTATTTAATTTCCCTAAATAAACCTATATAAATCTCCAAAACTATTTAATTATTACCTAACTTAGATTCCAATAGTTTTGGAAGTAACTTGGACCATATGAACAATGAAAACTTTTTGGAGATATTATTATTCATTGTTGATATGGTCTGAATTATTTCCAAAACTATTAGAATTTAAGTTTGGTAATAATTTAATAGTTTTGGAGATTTATATAGGTTTATTTGGGGAATTATATATTAATATAAAAATGTATTTTTCATTTAATAATATTTTTATTTATACTTTAGAAGTATTCTTGTTTTCTTTTAATGATATAATTTTCAACACCACATCAAATAAATCAACATTCACATCAACCACTCTTCAGTCTGATACAATAATGGATTTTTTAAATTTTGTTTTTTCAATTTTGTGGAAATTAGTTTTTTTAGGGTTTTGGTTCAAGATGCACTCAATTTAAACGACAACACCATAATTTCTCACAAAAATTATCATTGTTAAACAGTAATTATATATTTGCGGATAGCCTAAAATTAATAAATGAAATTTTAAAAAAAGTTTTTTTAAATTTTTTTTTTTTATTTTTATTTTGTTTTTATTTTTTATTTTTCATTTTATTTACTGATTTGATTTTTTAATTACACAGAAATAAAAGCAAAATGATTTGTTCCAATATTATATCAGTCTCAATTATAAGAAACAATTTAAAAATTTTAAATAATATACATACAAAAAATAATATAATAAAACATAATATAAATATAAATATAAATAATAATGGTAATAGAAATTTTTTTAAAAAATTATTTGAAACTGGAAGTGGATCATCAGTAGAACCCGTCACAAAAGAAATGTCAAAAGTTTTAAAGTAAAAATCACAGCCATACACCCACATACATACACACACACTAAGTAGTCATAATAATACTAATAATTCTTTTTAAATTTAAACACAGCTATCCAACCAATCAAGTTTATGATGTAGTTTTAAAAGTTGAAGAATATGAAGATTTTTTACCATTTTGTTTAGGATCAACCATTACAAAAAAGAACCCAAATGGGCAAGAAAATTGTTTTGAAGCTGAATTAGTAGTGGGTCAAGGATCAATCAAAGAAAGTTATACAAGCAAAGTAGTTTATAAAAAAGACAGTTTCATTGAATCAACTGCAATAGACACCAATTTATTTCATAAATTAATAAATCGATGGACTTTTAAAGATGGCCCCAAACCAAACACATGCATTGCCCACTGCAAATTAACCTATCATTTTAAATCACCACTATACGCATCATTAATGGACTCTTTTTTCGCATCCTCTTTAAATACAATGATCAATTCATTTGATAAACGTTGTGAAGAAATATATAAAAAATAAAATTATATTAAAATAAATAATAAAAATAAATAGTACTTTTTACAATACAATATTATTAGTAAAAATATAAATAATATATGTTTTTTTTTTTTTTTCTTTTAATTTATATTTTTCTTTTTTTTTTTATTTGTTTATTTACTTTTATTTTTATTATTATTATTATTTATAATATATTTTATTTTATTATGAAATAAACTAATTTAATTTATTTTCTAATTTTGAAATAATTTGGTTTTGTTCTAAATCTTCTAAATCTTTTAATACCTTTGCTACATTATAACGAAGTTTGTGGAATGTGTCAACTGAAACCTCAAATACTCTAGTTTTTCCATTGTTATCAGCCATTTCCATTAAAATAACTGGTATAAGTACTCTTGATGTAAAACTGCTACTAATAATAACGTCAACTCTCCATTTAAATGTTTCTAGTTTTGGGAATAAAATTTTATCATTATTTGATTTTTCTGCTAAATCTTTACCTCTGTATAAAAAAAAGTGAAATAAAATTAGAATCTTTGGAATAATAATAATAATAATAAGTGATGGTATAGGTGTATATTATTATAAATGAATATTGTGACTCTTACTGATTATTATAAATATTTGATAAATCAGTTATTAATGGTTGTGGTAATTTAAGATCTGTAATATCAGCTAAAAATGTTTGATTGTTGACTTTTTTTTTAATTGCAATCTTTAAAATATAATATAAACCTGTGAATACAATGGATGATAAATTTGGATCAACTTTATTATCATTTGCAGATATTGTTAATTTATTATGAATTGAATCTGTAATTTGTTCTAATCTATCGTTTTCTTCCTTTTTATTTAATGTGATCTTTTTAGTTTTCATATAAAGTGCTACCATTGATAAAATATCTCTATAAAATGATTGTTCAAATTTCTGTACAACTGGTATCATATTTTTAACTTCTGGTGGAATATTATATCCCAAATATGATATTCTTTCGGCCATTATTTATTGTATATGTATTGTTATTAATTATTTTGATATTATAATATCTTTTTTGTTTTAATTTGATTGCAATGTTGTTTTATAAAAAAATTATAAAAAAATTAAAAAAATAATTTAAAAAAAAAAATTAAAAAAAATAAAAAAATAAAAAAAAAAAAATAAGAAAAATCTATTTTTTTTTATTTTAATATTTCCAAAGCAAAAGACTATAAATATAATTTTAACTTCTATGTTTTATACATAATTAAACAAAGTAAAGGAATAAGCAATAAAGAAATTAAAAAATAAATAATAATAAAAATAAACCAAATAAAAATAAAAAAAAATAAAAAAAAAACAATTTTAAATTATTTTTTATCAAACAAAAAATATAAATAAACAAATAAGAAACAAACAAACAAATAAATAAATAAATGATAAATAAATAAATAAATAATAAAGAAATAAATAAATAAATAAATAAATAAAAATTGGGTAATAAAAAAAATTAAAATTAAAAATTAAAAATAAAAATAGTTTTCGAATTATTATTTGTTAATTACATATCACCAAGAATTTGTTTTAATGATTATTTATCTTAATAATATCGATTAAATCCAGAGTACACATTTAAAACCCAAAAAATAAAAATTAAAAATTAAAAAAAATAAAATTAAACGTTTTATTTTTTTTTTTCGTTTTTTTCGTTTTTTTACCAAGTTTTTATCCCATAAATATCTATAAAATATTGAGGACTTAAAAACATTTTGGGCACCACTAAACAAACCAGACAATTAGTAGAGTAATTCTTATCTATCATTATCATACGTGATAATAATATATAAAATTACACTTGAATGATGACAAAATCCTTATGAACATCCAAAAAATGTTTAAAAGTGTTGTCTAGGGGGTAGCATCTCTATGTCAACTGTCTGACCTTGTCTCAACTAAATAATTTAAAGAAAAAAATTTAATTTACTTTTATATAAATAAATTTTTATTTATATATTTTTATATTGTATTATATATTATAAGAAATATTTAGTGTATTCAAACACACTACCCTTAAACACATAATAGATTCAGGATAAATTTTTTTATTTCAATCAAAATAGTTATTTTATTATCATTATTACACAAAGCATTTTTTTTTTTGTATTTTTTTTTTTTTTTTTTTTGTATAAATAAATAAAATTTTACTTTTTTATTTTTTTTTTTTTATTTAATGTTATTTATTTTTAATTTTAAAGTGTAAATTGAGGATTTACATTTGGATCGAAAGATTTTTGTGAGTAAGATGTTGGAGAGCTAATTTCGTGACTTTTTGGTCTACCTAAATCATTTAAATTTGGAGGATTAAAAATTGATGGATCGTCTAATGGGAAAACACTTATATTTTGAGAGATATCAACTAAATCCATCCACCATTGAGAACGTGGACGTCTATATTTATCAGACATTTCTTCGATCATTTCAGGCATTGGGGTGAAATGAACACCACCATCGATGAAACCAATACAACCACTCATTTGGAGATGATTGTTTTCTTTTAAGTCTTTTTCTAAAAATTCGAAATAGTGATTCATTAAACGAGTTGAGAAAATACGGTCAATGGCTGATGGTGAACCACCTTGTTGTAAATGGCCTAAAATTGATTCACGTACATCAAAGAGATGTTTACCTTCTTCTTTAAAGAGTGAATAGATGAAATGAGTTGTATAGGTTGGACTAGCACTTTCACTTTTAATGATGAGACCGATTCTGTGTTCACGTTTGAAACGCTCGACAAACATTTTAAGATCTTTGGTTAATGATTCCAATGTTACACCTTTTTCCATAATATATGAACGTTCGGCACCTGATGCTAATGAGCTCATGGCTGCAAGATAACCACAATGAGCACCCATAACTTCGACAACGAAAAGACGACGAGATGCGACAGCTGATTGTTTGATTTTATCTAAAGCATCTAAAGTGTTATTGAGTGAAGTATCAGCACCAATACTGATATTGGTACCTGGTACATTATTTGCAATGGTACCTGGAGCACCTATAATTGATATTTTCTTTAATCTTGGATATTTTTCACGGTATTCGTAGAGCTTAGCAATACCAAGGTAGCCATTGAAACCACCAAACATTAAAATTGCATCGATTTTAAGTTTTTCTAAATTGGCCATAATAGCATCGATATTTGAATCGTTTGGAACTGAACGATTGGTACCAAGTTCAGCACCACCCATAACGGACCAACCATTGACAGTCATCCAATTTAATTGTTGAATTTCACCTAAAGCTAAACCACCAAATCCATTAAAGCAACCATACATTGTATAACCACGATCGATACCTAAACGAGTGAAAGCACGAACACATGGATTCATACCTGGTGATGGACCACCACTATGAAGGATAACGATATTGAGACCATTTGGCTCGACTTTACGACGATAAAGATTTGAACATGCTCTAAAGATTTCATGGAATTCCTTAAACATACCACCTCTGCAATCGACAACTTCGTTGAAACGTTTCTCTTTGATTAATGTGGCAATTGATTGAGTCTTCTTTACACACTCCATTAATGGTGATCTAATTACATCTGTACCGCTCATACCAATTAATACTGGTTCTTTTTGTGCCTCTTTGGTGTCATAGAAATAGTTGGCTGATTCGACACCCATAATGGTGGCGATATAACGATCTAAAAATGTTGGAGTACCACCTCTTTGAACATGACCTAAAATTGTGATTCTAGCATCGTGACCTTTATCTTCTAAAAATTGTCTGACATATGATGAGGTAATTGGTTTACCATCGCTATCGATAGCACCTTCCGATACAATAACTAATGAACATCTTCTACCAGAGAGACGACCCTTTTCGAGATTATCAGCCATATGTTGCTCCCAACCTTTTTCTGGTGGTGATTCTGGAATTAAAATATAATCGGCACCAGTAGCAACACCACTAACCAATGCTAACCAACCACAGTTTCTACCCATAACTTCAATTACAAAACTTCTTTGATGACTTACAGCAGTACTAAGAATGGAATCGATAGCCTCTAAAATTCTTCTAGTAGCAGTATCAGCACCTACTGTTAAATCAGTACCGCACATATCATTATCGATTGAACCAACGATACCAGCAATTGAAAGAGTTGAATAGTTTTCTAAACAATCTGGACTAATTTTACCATCATTTACAAGTTCACCCAATAATGAACACCATTCGCTACGAAGTAAATTGGCACCTGTAAGACTACCATCACCACCAATGACTAAAAGATTGTTGATTTTATTTTTAATTAAGTTGAATGCGGCTTTCTTTCTACCTTCACGTGTACGAAATTCTGCACTTCTTGCTGTACCTATAATTGTTCCACCTCTACTAATAATACCTGCTACAGATCCCCAATTTAATGGTAAAATCGAGTCATTAACTAAACCATTATAACCTTCACGAATTGCAAATACTTCGGCTCCTTTCAACATGGCTGCTCTTGCAAATGCTCTTATAGCTGGATTCATACCACTTGAATCACCACCACTTGTCAAAACTGCAATTCTTTTAATATCCTTAGTTGACATTAATAAGTTTTTATTAGTTTCTAAACAATTCTCTGTCATTTTTTGATTTGTTTTAAATAATTTAGTAAAAAAAATAAAATAAAAAAAAAACAAAAAAATAATATTATTTAATTTAATTTAAAAAATGTGTAAAATTTTTTAAAATTTTTTTTTAATTATTAATATGAAAAAATAATAAAAAAAAAAAAAAGTAAAGAAAATAATTAGTTATTTATAAATAAATATTAAATAACTATATTATTATTATTATTATAACAATTATTTGTTTATTTTAAAAAAAAATAAAATAATATTTGAAATGAACCAACAAAAAAAAAAAAAAAAAAGGCATTAAAAAAAAATTAGGGAAAATAAAATAAAATAAAAAAAAAAATTTAAAAAAAATAAAAAAAGGAAATTTTTTTTTTTTAAGCTTCCCCCCCAGGATACTTTTTTTTTTTTTTAAAAAGGACCCAAAAAAAAAAATTTTTTTTAGTATATGGGAAACGAAATAAAATAACCGAGGGGAAAGGGAAAATCATTTTTTAAAAAAAGAAATGTAGTTGATTTTTTAATAAACCCCTCTTTAAATTTACAAATAACCTTTTTTTTTTTTTTTCCAATCCCGAATTTTTAATAATAAAATTTTTTATCGGAAATAAAAAGATTAGGAGGAAAGAAGTAATCAAAATTAATATTTGGTTATATAAATATATATTTTCATCAATATTGATTTCTTTTATTATATACCTTGCGATTTTTCACCTAAATATATAAAATATTTTGATTACTAGATATTTTTTTTTTTTATTGAAATATTTTTTTTGATGACTTTTCATTGATAAATCTTTTTTTTTTTACAATAATGATTATAACATTTTTTTTTTGATAAAAGGCAATATCATAAAATATATATAAATTAAAAAAAAATTTCCAATAAATAGTGAAATATTTATATTTTTTTATATATATGAGGTTTAATTAAAGTTTATTAATCATACCAAAACAAAGATCATTATCTTTTAAAAATATTAATATAAATACCCAACCATTAGGTGCCATTTTATTTTGTTATCCAAATAAACCAATATTATTATTCTCCTCATATTTAGTTGTTTAATTATTTTGGCCACACACTCCCCTATTAAATTTAAAAAAATTTGGGTGTGATTACTTAAAAAATATTATTTACTTAATATGGTTTTCGGTTATTTATTTTTAAAATATCAGAATAGTAATGAAAAGGGTCTCTTTTTAGGAGTATTTAATTTTTCTATTTTTTCTTAAGATATAATTTAGTTTAAAGATCTAGTTGCAATCAAAAATCAATAAATTTCATTTTATATATTTAAAAATTGGAATATAATTTATTTAAAAAACACCAAAATAATTGATCTTATTAATTTATTTCATTCATTTTATGAGTATGAAACCCAAAAAAATAAAAAAATAAAAAAAATTTTTAATTTTTTGACTTTATGATATTCCAAAAAATGGTTTTAATAAAAAGATATTTTATAATATTTATATTTGTATAATTTTTTTTTCAAAAGATTTATATTTTAATTTTAAAAATTTTATAAAAAATGGGGTGTGTTAAAAGTTTGGTTTTGAATATTTTTGTCCAATTGAAATAAAATATACCCAAAAAAAAAAAAAAAAAATTACTTTTAAATAAAAAAAAATAAAATAAAAAAAAAAAGATTTTTTAAAATGGGAAAATCAGTTATTTTGATAAAATTTTAAAATAATTTATTAAAATATTTAAAAAAAAAAAAAATTTAATATTGGGGTAAAATTGGGATAGGAATGAAAGTAAAAAAACTTTTCAAATCATTTTTTATAATTTTTTTTTTCGTCCACTCATTTTATTATTTGTTTTATTATATATAACAAAATAAAATGATGATTTTAAAAGCATTAGTACTTTTATCTTTATTAGTTGTAAATACAGTATATTCAGCAGGATCATCATCAAATCCAACAACATGTAGAGCAGTTAGTATGTGATTTCGAATATTTAAGAGTGGAATATTAATTTATAGGGAAGGGATTTTTTAAAAAAAAAAAAAAAAAAAAAAAAAATTAATTCCCATGCAATGATTTACAAAAAAATAAATATTAATAATATATCATATCTATAGCATTTTCAGGTGCAGGTGATCGTGGTGCATGGGAAACAGGTGTAATCAAAGGTATTCTCGAAGCAAGAAACAATACTCCTTCTGATTATGCATGGCAATTTACTACAGGTATTAGTGCAGGTTCAATTAATGCAGCAGCTATGGTTATGTATAGTGTAGGTGATGAATTATCAGCAAGTGAATTTTTAGTAGAACAATGGTTAAGATTGACAAGGGAAAATGTTTATGTTAACTGGCCTGGTGGTCCACTCGAAGGTGTTTTCTTTAAAACTGGTCTTTTTGATACCACTCCTCTTTTCAACTTTTTAGATGCTTTAATTAATCCAACTTTGATCGCAAATTCAGATAGAGGTATTTTAATTGGTGCTACAAATATCGACACTGGTCTTTTCGATCGTTGGAACAAATCAGATCCACAATTTACATTATCAGTTGTAGCCTCCTCCTCTGTACCAGTCGTTTTTCCAATGATTACCAAAGATAATGGATATAGCTATTGTGATGGTGGTGCTACTTATGACACACCAATTACCGATACAGTTAGACTCTGCTATGGAACTGGTGCAACAGATGTAATTGTTGATGTCATTTTGGAAGGTAGTTTAGATCCAATTGTTAATGTTTCAAGTTTCCACACAATTGACGTTGTTACAAGAGAAGCTCGTATCGAAATTTTAAATACTCACTTAAAAGATATAGAAAATGTTAGAATGGCTTTCCCAGATGCCACTTTAAATATCTATACACCAGGTGAAAAACTACCAGGTTATGTTTTAGGTTTCCAATATTCAAAAGAGATGATTGCCATGGGTTATAAAGATGGTTTGGATGAAAACGGTTCAGCTAAAGATTATTCTAAATTAGATAAACTCAAAGAAATGGTTAACAAATATCAAAAAAATTCTAAAAAATAAAGAAATTAAAAAAAACTTATTTATTTATTATAAAAAAAAAAAAAAAGATAATCAAATTATTTTTTGTGATTGAATGGTTGATGAATTTTATTAAAAAAAAAAAAGATTTTTAAATTTTATAATAATTTATTATATTTAATTTTTTTATTTTATATTACATGCGCACTTAATTTTATAATTGATTTATTTCGTTGTAGAATGTAATATTGTATTATAGTCGTAATAAATATTTTGATTTGGCATACCAAAGTTTTGGTTTTGGAGCATTGGTATTTGAGATGGTTGTTGTGGTGATTGATGATTTGCTTGAGACCACCCCATTGGCTGAGGGTTATTATTATTATTGTTATTATTATTATTATTACTACTACTATTACTATTATTATTGTACATTTGATAAATATTATTTGAATTATTTGTATTGTTAAATTGATGAACTTGTGGTGGAGTTATTTGGTAGTCCATTTGATATTGCATTAAATTTTGTTGTCGTATTATGTCATTGTTGTTTAATGCTAAACCATTTAGATTATTGTTCATTGTATTTATATTATTCATATTTATATTTATGTTGTTATTTAAATTGCTCATATTATTTAAGTTCATATTATTCATATTTGTAAAGCTATTTAAATTATTATTTATCATATCATTTATATTTGTTGTCATACTAATACCTCCTATATTATTATTTAAGCCATTATTATTTATATTGTTATTTATATTGTTATTTATATTATTATTTATATTATTATTTATATTATTATTTATATTATTGTTCATATTATTCATATTTATATTGTTATTATTTATATTTGTATTTATATTGTTGTTTGTATTTATATTAGAGTTTATATTTGTATTTAAATTTGTATTAGTGTTGGTGTTAATATTGGTGTTTGTATTTATATTTGTATTTGTATTTGAACCTGGATTATTGTTATTGTTCATATTGTTACCCATAAAAGTATTACCGCCATCATTCGATCTATAAAATGGAGAGAATACTAAACAAATAAAAAATTATATTAGATATTTTATAATATTAAATAATAAATTAAAAAAAAACTTACATTTTCCAACCATTTGATCACCTGGTGAGACCTGTGGACTTGGTGTAGTAGTTGTAGTAGTAGTTGTTGTGGTTGTTGTAGGTGGTAATTCTGGTGTATCCTCTTCCATTTCTTTATCTTTATCCTTATCTTTTGACTTTGATTTTGACTTTGATTTTTTAGATTTTTTAGTAGTTTTTTGAATTTCTATAAATAAAAAAAAAAAAATTAATTAATAATTGGTTTTAAAATTTTTAAGATTTACAAATATTTACTTTTTCCCTCTTTATCTTTCTCTTTCTCTTTCTCTTTTTCTTTATTCTTTTCCTTTTCTTTTTTACCTTCAGCTTCCTGAATTAAATCTTGTAAAGAAAGATCGTGTATACTTCTTTTATTTTTAGTTTCTTGTTTTTGTCTGAGATAATATTTTTGAGCATGACTTTGAATTTGAGTTGGTGTTCTTGTGCCAACAAATTGAGCAATTTCCTTCCAAGCGCCCTTACCATGAACTTGAATACCATTTAAAAACTTTATGTGTTCTTCTTTGGTCCAACCTTGTTTTAATGTTGCCTTTTTACCAGTTTTGGTGGTTGCTGTTTTTGATGTTGCGGCTGTTGCACCTAGTGATTCATTGTTATTATCAGCTACAATTGATTTTGTCTCTAATTTAATGTTTGCAATTGTGGTATTGGCTGGTGTAGATGAGGTTGTGGTAGTAGTAGTTGTCGACATTGAACCATTATTTGTTGGGGAGGAGGAGCTTGCTTCATCGACATAGGAAGTTGTCATATCATTACTATCGAAACTTGATTTTCTCATTTCAAACTCTCTAACAACTATTCCATTAACAATGTTTGTAGTGATACCATTATTATTTAATGGGTCATTATCTGGGGAAATTGGTTTTGTATTATCAAATGACGAGTTTAAACTTTGTGTTGTATTTGAGTTTGAATTTTCACTAGGCGAGCTTGAATTATCTGATTGGATTTGTTGTTGAAGCTGTTGCATCTGTTGCTGAATTTGTTGCATTTGTTGGTCATGTTGTTGCTGTATTTGGTCATGGTGTTGTTGTTGTATTTGTTGTTCGATTTGTTGTTGAATATTTGGTTGAGAGGCAGTTGTGGGTGGTGGTGGAGGTGGTGTTGGAATAGTTTGTTGTTGTTCTGTTGGTTTATCTTGTTGACCTTGTTGTTGAAGATATGTATTTTGCAATGCTAATAATCCTGGATTTTGTTGATTAAATCCACCCAATGATGAAAATGAATTAAAAAATGAATGACCAATACTCTTTTCGAATGAATCTGTGCTATTTCTGTGAGTAACATAAAAATTAATATATTAGTAAATTTTAAAAAAAAAAAAAAGAGAAAATAAAAATTTTGAATTTTAATCCAAATTTCATGTTTTATATCTTTTAAAAAAAAAAAAAATTTGAAAAAAAATTCTGTAATAAATTTTTATAATAAATAATAAATTTAGAAAAAGGTATTACAACTTACAATATATTTAAATTTGGCATTTCAGAGAAAGAGTAGTCTGGTGATAATAATCCTCCAAGTCCACTGTGAAAAGAATTTGATGAGAAAAAATTAAAAGGTGCTGGATTTGATTTATTATTTATTCCATTGTTAATATTTTTATTGTTACTATCTTGATTCATTTTTTAAATTGTAATTTGTATTAAATTTATAGTATATGATATCATATAATAAAGACGAATTCAATAATTGATTTTTTGGTTTTATTTGATTTTTATTATTTGAGGAAGTAGCGGGGTTATTATTATTTTTATTATACTAATTAGTTCCTTTTTTTGTGGCCTATCCTATTAGATTTTATTTGTTAATAGGTTATTTTTTAAAATAAAATAAAAAATTAATTTTTGGGAATAAAAAAAAAAAGTTGAAAAAAAAATTTTAAAAAATAAAAATTAAATAAAAAAAATAAAATAAAATAAAATAAAAAATTTTTAAAATTATATTTTTATTTAATTTCGATATAAATAATTATATTACTTTTTAACAAAACTATTCTGAGGGAAGTTTTCTTTTTTTTTTTATTTTTATTTATTTTTATTTTTTTTTATTGTTTATTATTATAAATATAATTGTAAAATATATGATATAAATTTTGTTTACTTTAAAAATATACAATTTTTTAAAATTTATTATTATTATAATGAATTTTTTATTTTTTTTTTTTTTTTATTTAAATTATTTTTTGTACAAAAAAAATTATTATTTCTAACTATATAATTGTTCAAATATTGGAAAAAAAAAAAATTAACTAACTAATAAAAAAAACCAAAAAAAAAAAAATAAAAATAAAAAATAAAAATAAAAAATAAAATTTTAAAAAATTAAAATTGAATTTTTTTTGTTATGTTTGAGGTTTAAATAAATAATTTATTATTATTATTTTTATTACTATTATTATTATTCGTATTAGTTAAAATTCCACTAACAATTTTTTTTTTTTAAATAATTTAAAAAAAAAAGGAAAAAAAAAAAAATTAAAAAGGGAAACAAATATCCATAAATAATATAATTTATTTATATTTAAAATAAATATTATTTGGGGTTGTTGTGTTAAAGAAAAAAAAAAAAAAAAACTGATTATGTTGGTAATTTACAGATGAAAAACTTTAAAGTTATGTAGTGTAGTTTTTTTTTTTTTTTTTTTTTTTTTTTTTTATTTGGGGGGGGGGAGCGATTTGGGGGTGTATTTGTGTGTTGAGGTTGGTGTTTGTGTGAATTTGGTGGGTTTTTCTATTGGTATTGTGCTTTGTTTTATTTCTTTACCTCTTTTTATGAATAAATAATTTATTGTTGTTGAAATAATAAAATGAAAAAAATGAAATTTTTTTTTTTTTTATAATTATATAATTATAATTATATAATTTACTATTTTTTTAATATAGATAATTATAAAAATTTGAATAATTTAAAAATGAAATTTTTTTTTTTTTTTCAAAATTTAGAAACGAAAAATTTATTTTTTTAAAATTATTTTTTTTTTTTAATTTTTTTTATTTTTTATTATTTTTTATTTAATTTTTTAAATTATTATTTTTCATATTAATGTGTTCTGATTAATATTATTACATTCTTTAAACATACATATTTTAACTTCAAAATAAAAACACAAACACACAAGGCTCATATCATTTTTATAAATAATAGGAAACTTTCAAATAATTTTAACCCCACCACATTTTTCCACACACCACATTTAACACCACTACATTTTATTATAAAAAAATGATTCGTAATCTCTTAAAAACATCATCTAGATTGCAGATTTTATCACCAAAAAATCTAAAATTTGTTAAATATAATAGTAGTAATAATAATATAATATATAATTTAAAGGAAAGAAAGCAATTTTATTCAACACAAACTAATAATAATAATAATGGAAAGGATAACAATATAGATATAAAGAACAATGATAATAATAAAAAAGAGGGAGTTGAAAAACCATTTTATGGATCCATTGGTGACATTGATTTTAGCAAGAAACAATATGGACCATCATCATCATCAGCATTAACTAGAGAACAGATTTCAAAGAGTTTATTATTAATGAGAAGATCAGCAACATTGTCATCAGTTTATATGATGGCAAAAATGACAGATGAAAATCAAACACCAATCTATGGTTCATTGGTACCCTATGCATTACATGACTCTGTAGAAATGGTAAAAACAGATATAACAGATGAATCAAAAGAAGAGAAATTTACAATCTATAACCCAATTATTGCATTACATAAAGACAGTCCACACATCACACATTTCAAGCATTTTAATAAAGTATCGATGGTAATTTATCCATTGACCCCAGTTGGTAAAGCTCCATCCGGAGTTTGATTTAGAGCGTATTAATATCAGTGGTCGTGCAATTAAAGTAGAAAGTAATAGTAGCACTAGTGGCGAACCAAGCAAATACAACATTGACAGAGTTAGAAGAATTTATTATGACCGTAATCCAAAATCTAAATCAGTTATAGAAAAGAATAGAGATAATTATTTATTTTATATTGTCGAACTTTCAGATATTTACCATTATAATAGAAATTCAAAACTCACCAATATTCCATTAAATGTTTTCAAATCTACCCGTTCTGACCCAATTACTATTCAAAGTGGCGAAATTATCGAGACTGTAAATTCACAATACGAAGATGCATTGATTTCTATTGTAGAACAATATGGCGATGTTAAAATCGATTCAGCATTTATGTATTTCCTCGACTCTTTTGGTCTTAATTGTATTGGTAAAAAGAAAGGTATTGATGAATGGTTAGATATCCGTATTCCATTCGATACCTCATTCGACACTCTAGAAAATTGTAAAAATGGTTTATTTGGCACTTTAAAAGAAAGTAGAAATCACTTTAAAAACATTTAAAATAAAATAAAGATATATTATATTAAATTATAAAAATATAAATTTATAATAAGCAAAAAATTGAACTTTCACTTTTTTTTTTTGTAATTACTTTTTAGGTAATATTCGAGAAGTTGTTACACATTTTGGTGTTGTAGATACAATCAAGATCATAAATTAGATGTAAGTATAGGCGTTTGGGAAATATATTTATACAACCCCAGTTTTATTTTTTTTATTTTTTATTTTTTATTTTTTATTTTTTATTCCCTCATATTACTACCTTTATTGTCAAAAATGATGTTTGTAAAAAACTAAAATAATAAAAAATTAGTGAATGATGCAAATATTACCATATTTATAAATAAATCAATTTGTTTTGATAGAGTAGCACAAATTTCAACGAATTTTACTTTCAAATTGATTTTTTTTTAAAAAATTTTTCAAATCAAATTTTCATTGCCACTTTTTGTAAAACAACAGTTTTTTTTTTTTATGCAATTATTTTATGATAAATTAAATTTTTACAAAAAAAAAAAAAAAAAAAAAAAGAAATACAAATAATAAAATAAACAAAATCAATAATTATTATGATAGCATTATTATTTTTGTTAAAGTTCTTTTCTATTTTTTTTTTTTTATTTAAAATAATTTTTTTTTTTTTTTTGTGTTGGGTTTATTTTATTATACTTAAATATTATTTAATTTTTATGATCTGTTGACATACTAGCTTCAATGTTTGCTTTAATATCTCCTTTAAGTCTTTCGATTGTTTCTTCTGCAATTTTTATTGAGTCTGAACCTACAAAAAAATGTAACTCTGGATTTTGTTTTAATGAAAAATCAATAATAGCTTTAGCTCCTTTTTCAGGATCACCAAGTTGTTTTCCATTGATTGAGTTTTGATGCATTTCTTGAGCTTTTCTAACTGCAGTATATTCATTAATTGGATGGGATGGTACACTGACTGAACCTTTTTCTAAGAACGATGTACGGAAATAGCCAAGTAATACAGTAGAGACATGGACATTAAACTCTTTTAAATCTGCAGCTAAACCTTCACTAAGACCTTCAATAGCGAATTTAGTAGAGCAGTATACTGAAAAGGTTGGAAAATTACCAGTAAATCCTCCTACACTGGTGATGTTAATGATTCTTGGACCTTCTGGGAATTTCTATTAAATAATTAATAGGAATAAAAAGAAACTTAAAATATATTAATTAGTTATTATATACCTTGTTTTTACGTAAATATGGAGCTGCATTACGTATAATTCCTATAACGCCAAATACATTGCATTCAAATTGGTCACGTACCTCTTTATCAGTTAACTCTTCTACAGTTCCACTAAAAATTAAAAAATTGTTAATATTATTTTTTAACAGATTTAAAAATTTAAATAAAACAAACCATTGTGAATATCCAGCATTGTTAATAACAACATCAATTCTTCCGAATTTTGCTATTGTTTCGTCAATACTCTTTTTAATTGATTCATCTGAGGAAAGATCTACTTCTAAAGGTAAAAAGTTTTCATTTGTTACAAAACTATATTCTTTTAAGTTTTTTACAAGTTGTTCTTTATTTCTACTAGTTGAGGCACAGTTAAAACCTCTTTCTAAAATTTGTTTTGTTAAAATTAAGCCAAGACCTATAATAAAAAATGTTAGTTTTTATAATTTATAATTATAAATATTATAGACGATTTGATTTACCTTTACTTGCACCTGATACAAAAAATACTTTTCTTTCTTTTTGTGATGTCATTTTAATAGGAAAAAATAATAAATGAAAGAAATTAAAAAAAAAAAAAAAATTAATTACAAAAAAAAAAAAAAAAAAAAAATTAACCCCACAACACCCCACTTTGATGAAATATACAACTATTTATTTATTATTTGATATCTTATTATTACTATTATTGTTTAAAAAGGGTATATATGATTTAATAAAATCTAAGCCCCAATGAATGATTGAACCTATTGAATAATATGGATGTAATAAACGGAAAAATAAATTTACGGTGTGTCTTGAAAATTTTCCATTTGGAAAGAGTTGATCTAAAACAGCACGACTTTTAGTACGAACACTACGAGGAACATAAGCTGGTGAGCCTGGTTTGGTTAGAGAATATAAACACGATTGTAATTTAACTTTGGTGGTGGGATTAAGGTCCCAATTTTCTTTGAAAACCAAACATCTATCGATATAACCGATCAGAGTTTCTTCGTGCTTAATTAAATTTAAATGTTTAATAACACCTCTAACAAATAAATCGTCAATTGATAATACTAATTCTTTTGTGCTTGATATACCTGGTGTTGGTTCATTGTTGCTGTTGCTATTGTTGTTATTGTTTTCTGACGCTATATGTTTCTTTTGAATTGTATCTAAAATAAAATCTTGATATTGTCTATTTATATTGTATCTAAATTCATCCAAGCCTTCATTTGTCTTTTCATAGTAAAAATAAAATACACTAATAATATGATAAAAATCAATCCAAATTCTTCTATTTCTTAATAGATTTGTACGCATTAGATCTGGATCATTGGATGATGTTGACTCTAAATCTTTGCTGGCTTCACACAACCCATTCCACAAAGATCTATCCACTAGTTTTTGCTTGATTGTTGAATATATTTGGTAATATTTTCTTGTATAACGGTCACAATCATACCAGAATAATCTATTTGACGCTTTGATCAGTATATTTAGTTGTGGTGTTAATGAGAGTCTATATTCTAGGAGCCACGAAAAAAACATTGACCCATAAATTAAATAAAACCACTGATTGTTTGTCCATAACGATTGTAATAGTGGTCTGAATAGCTCGACTTTATCTGGGTTGTTTAAAAAATATTGTGAAATTAGTTGATAGTAGTAGATCTCTTTTTCATTGGGTGAGTTTTCTTTTCCACTACCACTACCGCTGCTGTGATATCCACTGCCACTGCTTGTGCTACTATTTAAAATACCTTTCCCACTGCTACCCAGAGTGCTACTGCCTGATCCAATACGAGTACTGCTCGAGCTAGTGTTTAGCATTGATGTGGAGGGTGATGTGTTTGATATATAGGCTGTTGGTGTTAGCTTTAATCTTTTTGCTGCAACATCTAAACACGGATATGGATAGTAGTTGTTTAAAATTCCATCTTTTTTACTACTGTTTTTAAATGTTGGTATTGTAAAAGTTGTTGGTGATTTTGAGCCTGATTGTATTGAGGGTGAGTTTATAGGTGAGCTTGATTGAGGTTGTGACTGATTGAGGTTATTGTTTACCTTTTCAATATCTTTATCTGATAGGGTTGTTAAATATTCAAATACAGGTTCGTCAATCTCCAGACTAATATCTTTGAAAACCTCTTGGATGATACGATCTTTTTGGGATGTTGATAAATCGTCTGAAGTTGCTTGATTAAGTGTACTCCAAACCTTCTGAGTGATCTTCTTTATAAAATTATTTCTTTTCTCTGATAGACTTTTAAGGAAAGGATTTAACTCTAGATTATCTAACGACTTTTTCTTTTCCAATATTTTAAACGATGAATGCTTGTTATTTGACTCTAAATTTAAACTCTCTGAAACTACATTTGCTACATCTTTACCATCAACATGTTGACCCAATTCTCTTTTTGACATTGTTGTTTTGTCATCAAATACTGATAGTTTCAATGTTGGCATTGGGGAATTTGCGCTACTACTATATTCACCCCCGCTACTGGCCTCCGGTATAGCTAATTTTTCACTAATGTCATTTTCTTTTTCATTATCGATGCTTTTCTTTAATGTGTTTGTTATTAATACTTTATTTGATGATCTATTTAATTTATATTTTTGAATGATCTTTTCTTTTTCGAATTTTTCATCCTCTTCATTAATTTCTTTTTCATCATTACTTGTATTATAATAGTTATGTAAACCATAGTCATATTCTTCTTCCCGTTCATCATCTTCTTCCGTCGTGCTATGAGTGTTGCTGTTGTTTAAGTCTTCTTCATCATTTTCTGTAATGGTGGTGGTGGTGCTGGTGGTAGTGTAGTTATTACTTTTATTATTTTCTTCTTTTTCCTGTTCATATTCTTCATCGCTGCCACTTAATTCCTCACCACCGCTTATAATTTCGTTTATATTATTGCTGCTATTATTTCTAATCATAGGATGCTTTGATGACCCACCATTTCCACTGCTGCCACTACTACCAATTGCTGTAGTGCTATTTGATATAATTTGATCTGATGTACCAATAATTTCAACATCATCTTCGTGTTTTAGGGTTTCTTTAACTTTTTTTAATATAGCCTCGCTTTCATCATTACTACTACAACCACTAATATCCATATTTGGATTATCTTCAATAATTTTAAATTGAACAACTTTATTTTTTAATAGTTTATTTTTATTATTATTAATTTCACTGCTATTATTATTATTATTATTATTACTATTGTTATTACTACTATTATTATTGTTATTGTCTAAGCTTTTATTATATTCAATATTATTATTTTCGAAATCTATATTATTTTCTTTATTTGTAGTGCTGTTTTTTAAATTTGAATTTTTTTCTTTATTTAATTTCTTATTTTTGACATTGTTTTTTTGTTGTTTATTTTGATTATTTGTTCCCATTTTTAAAAAAATTATAATTTTTTTTTTTAATTGGACATTATATTTATATTGCTGTATATAATTATTTTATAAAATTACAAAGAAAAAATATTTAAAAATAATTAAAAAAATAAAATAAAAATAAATAAAAATAAAAAAAAATAAAAAAAAATAAAAAAAATAATTAAAAAAAAAAAGATTTTTTAAATTAATTAATAAATTAATAATAAAAAAATATTTTTCTTTTTACTTTTATTTTATTTTCAAATCTGAATAAACAATAAAATAAAACATATACCCAAAAAAAGAAAAAAAAAGAAAAAAAAGCTATAAATGATACTATAGTGAAATTTCACTATAATTATTTATTATATTATTATTGTTATTATTTATATTGATATTATTTATTTTATATAATATTATTTATTAAATTGAGTTTTTTTAAAAATATACAGTTTTTACATTTGATAAATTTTGCTCGGTTGGACAATATGGACATTTAAATCTATTTGAAGATCCTTTTAATAATCTTTGCATTGAGTTTTTACAAAGTAAATGACCACATTGAAGCATTACAGGTGGATTGGTTGGAGTACTTTGTTCACGAGATACTGGACAAGCAAAAATACTATGGAATTTATATTTTTCATCCACTTGAATCTCGACCGTGAGGGAATCGTCATTTACACCTTTGAGTATACTAAAAGAAGAGAGTTTTAAAAGAGTTGGTAATGACTTCATACCGACGGTAACAGCAATGGATAGTGGTGAATCTTGTGGTATATTCATTAATGAACAGTTGTCTCTTGAAAATGTGCTTCTAATTTCAGCCCAATGTTCATTGAACGCCTGCTCTTCAAACATTGAGCGATATGGTGAGTTTTCTAATTTATGGGCAAATGCAAAGGTTCCCATTAGATGCTGGAGTTCCTTCATATGGGTGTTTGAAAGTCTTGATAAATAGGTACGTGCGTATTGCAATGCTTCTTGCTGTTTACCATTCTTTAAGAGATGGATGAATTGCAATTTATATAGTTTGAACTCTAAGCTGCTATCGATTAATCCCAGCTCTTCATTATTCTTTTTACACCACTCTATGACAGGTTCTAAATTGTATTGATCTATCGAGCTTAATATTCTATGGTGATCTCTAAATTTCTCTTTGATCGATGTCGAAAACTCTGTACTTGTCCCAATCTCTTTTGCAAAAACATCGCCAATTTCAAACTTACCAATTCTATATAAATGATGTAAAATTATATTATTTAAAATATCAATATCAAAATCGATATCTTTTGATGAATTTTCTATATCGCTTCTAAAATTCTATATGTTTTGTTTTTAAAATAATAAATAAATTAGTATATGATATGAATATAGTATATTTCTTGTATGTTAGAAATTCTTACCTTATCAACTAGTTTACCAAATTTGCTAATAGGGGCATGTAGTTCTTTATGTTCGTTTACAACTTTTGTCCAAATATTAGAATCGATTACTGATTGATTTAATTTTAATATTGCCTTTCTAACCATTTCATTATTGCTTCTAGTATTAGAGGTGTTATTTGATGTGTCCATTGGCGTTAACTCTGCATCAGTGCTATCACTTAATGATAAAACTTGTTTACATGTTTTTAAACTTGATATGATCGTATCGATTTCTGTTATAGTTTTGGATAAACTTGTTTTTTGTTTTTTTATTATTCTCGAAAGCCCATCCTCCAATTGATCATATTCAATTTTACTACTTCCACCACTATTCGATGTAACTCCAACAGTCTTTTCTTCCATCTAAGAATATATTACTTCTACAACAACAACTATTATTTTGTTTTTTATTATTTTATTATTAATTATTAATTATTTGGTATAAAAAGAAAAATAATAAATATAATATGCGTATGTGTGTGAATTGAATGTATAAGGGTGTTTTTGTTTATTATGAATAAATTTTTAGAATTTTTCAAAATATATCAATCGTCTCTGTATCTATTATTTCTTCTTTTATTTTAATTTAATCTGTTTACTAATTTGGATGTATATTCACTAATTATTATTTGTTTTAATTATTGTGAAAAAAAACAATTTTAAAAAATTAAAAAAAAAAAAAAAAAAATTAAATTAAAATATTTTTTTAATTAAAATAATTTTTTTTTAAAAAATTTTTTTGTATTAATTATTTTAAATAATTATATTTTCAATTAAAATATTGTTAATATCTCTTTAAAAATTTGAAAAATATTTAATAAAGATTTTATTTACTCTTTTAGTATATGAATTTTTCATATATAGTTTCAATTTTATAAAAAAAAAAAAGGAAAACATCTACTTTACTCTTTTATTAATTAAATAATTTTATGCAATAATGTAAATAATAGAAATAATAATAATAACAATAATAGAAATAATAAAAATAATAAATCTCCCTTTTTTTAAAATAACCCCATTAAGCTATGAATGGTTTTTGATTTACAATTAAAATAAATTTTTTTACTATATAAAAATATAGATCCATAACACCTGTAAATTAATATCAAAAAAAGATTCACTATTATTGTATGTAAAAAACAAAATAAAACACTCGTTATCACCATTCGAAGACACAGTTACACACAACAAATCCACACACAGCACACAGCTACACCCAACTGCACACTAAAACACACAAACAAATGAAAAAAAATACTTCACACCCATTACGCACTACTACCCACCAAAACTTACAATTTTTTTTTGTAACCCTAATTTGTTTATTGTTAATTGTTTGAAGATTTTCATACTTTTTCTTTTAAAATAAGATTTTTATTTTTATATCTTTTTTTCAAATTTTGTTTATTTTTATTTCTAAATTATCGAAAAAAAAAAAAAAAATAAAAAAAACAATATTTAATAATTTATTATATAAATAAAACCTTATTCATTTTTTGTTAATTTAATTTGTTATTTATTTATATATATTATTTATAAAACTAAAGAAAATAAAAAAAACAATGAAATTTATTTCAGTTTGCTTAATATTAATACTTTCATTATGTTTAGGGGGAATTCAAGGTTTTGAAGGTGGTATTTTTACATGTGAAAATGGTGTACCAAAAGGTGCTTCATCAATTACTTTCCAATCATCAAGAGTCACTGGTATTATAGCTGGTTTTTCATGCTTTGAATCAAAGAAAAATCAAACAGTCTTCACCTATCCACCATATTCATTCACAACCATTCCAAGAACTGTTATGGATGGTACCAAATTTGAAGGAAGTGCAGTTGTTTTGGATTTCAAGAATATTTTAAATACATACTTTTTCGACTATGCTACTATCACCTATGTCCCATACACTGGAGAAACCGTTGTAGTACTCAACAACCCAAGAGTTGTACTTAACACCCTTGATCCAAATAAGCAATAAATGGAACATCAATATCTTAATCAACATCAACTTGAAAATCAAAATCAAAATCAAAAACAATTACAGAAATTTAAAATTAATATTTTTAAAAACAAATTTAAAATTATAATAAATTAATTATTTTCCCTCCCCAAAAAAAATATCTTTGTCAAAATGTATTTCTAATTTTTATTTATTATTTGTTATTATTATTTAAGCTTGTTAAAATTCTATGATAAACTTTTGAAATTCTTTTAATACCTTCATAAATAAATCCATTTGGTACAGTAAAGATAAATCTAATAATTAAAAAGATATGTTTTTAAATTAGTATAAAATGAAAAATATGGATATCAAACTAAATTTGGAGATTAATCTATATTTACCTATAAAAACCAGGCTCTGAAAAATAGCAAAATTTACCTGGATTAATAATAACTTTGGCGTTGAAAATTTCTTCCCAAACTAACAACTCTTGGCTAAATGGGTCATTTTGGTTTAGTGGAAAAGCTGGTAAAATTTTTCTAAGATCCAATGTTAAGAATACACCACTTGATGATTTGATGAAAGGAATATTAAATTCTTTTAAAGTGTTTACGGTAAATTCGTAGGCTCTCTTTAAATTATTTTGATTTTCTCTAATGTAATGAGCTAAATACTCGTCATCAGAGAGGATGTTTATAAGTGCTGCTTGGACCAAGTTACTGCAAATATAAAAGTTTGATGTTGATGTTAAATAATTGTAAGCATTTTTATTTTGTGAATAAAAATAACCTGCTCTAAACCCATTTAAACAAAAATCTTTGGAGAAACCAGATACAATATGAACAAATTCGCCCATGTCACCTTTGCAAACATCGTATACTGATTTAAATTCGTTGGTTTTAATGTCTTCACCATCGCTTGAACCACTGCTTCCACCGCTGATATTTGGTTGAGGCTTATCAAATACTGAAAGTGCATATATTTCATCGCTAACATAATGAATTTGCTTTGAACGACACCATTCAACCAAACGTTCTACTTGATCTTGTGGGAAAATAAAACCATTTGGGTTATTTGGGTTGCATACTAACACCATTTTAACTTTTTGGGTTGAATAAATTTTTTCAAACTCTTCGATATCTAATTGAAATGAGATAACTTGTTTAGTTTGTTCGTCATAAACCTCAGTTTTTGCTGGTAATACACGTACACCAAATCTATGGTATGAATCGCTGACAAATGCTGGATAAAAAGGCGATGGAATGATACATACTTCATCTTCATTGCAAAACATATTAAATACATTCTCTAATAAAGGAGTACAACCATCAGTTAGTAAAATTTGATTGTTTTTTACTAAAAGATCTTTATTCTCTGGTCTATATGTAAAAATGTGATTTTGTAATAAATTTGCTACTGCTTTTCTACATTCTTCTAAACCCCCAAATGCTGAATACTGTGTTAACTTTTGGCTCATTGGAATGGTTTCTAATTTCTCTTTCAATAATTCGTATGATAAAACATTCTCTGCAATACCAAAACTGATATATCCTTCGCTATTATTTTCTTCATTGTACAAATTGTCCATTGCTGTAAAATGAGCCAATCCTATTTTGCTGTTACCCGTTTTTTGTGCATTAAATACTCTTTTTGCATTATTGGAAAAACCTTTAAATTCATTATCGTTTTCCATTTTTTAATTATTTTATTGATATAGTTTAAATATTATTATTTATTTAGTTTATGTTTGGTTTATTTTTATGTTTAATATAAAATAAAGTACTTGGAAAAAAATTATTAAAATTATAACAATGTGTTTTTTATAAATTTGGTTGTGTCAATGAGTGTGGTGGGTGTTTAGAAAAAAATAAATAATTTTCGCAAAATTAAAAAAAATAATTAAAAAAATAAAATAAATAAAATAAAATTTTTTTTATTTTGAAAAAAAAAATAAAAAAGAAATTTCTTTTGGAATGTGGAAATTAATTAATAGAATATTTTATATTCTTTTCATAGATATATGGAAACCATCCCAGTTAAAAAAACTATTGATAATATAATTTTAAAATAAAATACTGTTTAAATTGTAAATTAATACATTCATTAGAATCACATTTCGAAAATTATTGTACCACTTTGAGAATAAACAAATAATATAATATTGCTTATAACAGAATATATTTATTTAAATAATATAAAATAAAATAAAATAAAATGAAAAAAAAAAAAAAAGATCTTATAATTTTTATTTTTTTATATTTTTTTTTTTTTAAAATTTTTCTTTTTTTAAAATTTTTTAATTAATTTTTTTTAATTTTTAATTTTTTTTTATTTTTTTTTTTTTAAATTATCTTTTTTTTTTTTTTTATTTTAATGTTATAGTGTGTGGTTATAATTTTGATATAAATGGGTGGAATTAAAAAAAGTGAAAGTGTTGATGGTATTTCATCACCATCAACATCATCAGCAAATTCCTCTTCATCCAATAAATCCAATGGTAGTAATTTAGAAATTTCAAGTCAAGATCCATGGTCATTGCTTTTACCAACCAATTCCACCGAGATTGATGAAATCTCCAAACTTATCGAAGAAAAATTATTAAAACAATTAAATAAACAAGTAAACCCTTCTAAAAAGTAAAAATCAAATATATACAGCATAATATACAGATAGCATCACAAATACACATGCAGCAACAATAATAAATATATAATCACCCTAAAGAAATCAGTTTTATAAAAAAAAAAAAAAACTATTATTATGTTACTAACTTTTATATTTTATAGATTTAATTTATATGATGTAGCTCCATTTATTACTGATGGTGCCGAAGTTTTAGTTGATGATGAATTTACAAAATGTTTTACCAGTCCCGAAATGGATTCATGGAATTGGAATATATATTTATACCCAGCATGGCTCTTTGGTTTGTTTATTAGATTTTGTATCTTATTCCCACTTAGAGTAACATGCTTGGTAGTTGGTAGCTTTGCCTTTGCTGTTGCCTTCTTTTTATCTACAACTTTTGTTAAAAATCAAAAAACCAGAAAACATTATCAAGTAAGCATATATCGATATACAATAACTTGTTATTAATTACTAATCAAAATTACCTATTCATAATTTATAGAGAAAATGTATCAGCTTTTTAAGCAATGTATTTATTATGTCATGGTCAGGTGTTATTAGATACCATGGTGTTAAGCCATTAAGAAAGAAGAATCAAGTTTTTGTAGCTAATCATACAACAGTTATGGATGTTGTAGTCTTACAAAGTCAATTTAATCATGCAATGGTTGGTCAAAAACACAAAGGTTTATTAGGTTTTATTCAAGATTATATTTTAAATTGTATAGGTTGTCTTTGGTTTGATAGAGCAGAATCAAAAGATAGATTATTAGTTGCACAACAGTTTGTATCAAAGACAAAAACAACAAACCATTACAATATACTAATAACTGTATTTATTTTATTTTATTTAGAATTTCAAAACATATTGAAAATGAAAACAATGATCCATTATTAATTTTCCCAGAAGGTGTTTGTGTTAATAATCAATATTGCGTTATGTTTAAAAAAGGTGCCTTTGAATTACCAAATGTTACAATTCACCCAGTTGCCATTAAATACAAGTATATCATCAATAATAACAAACTAATATATCACCACATAGTCACTAATATCATTATTTATTTTTTTAAAATTTAGCACTTTATATGTTGATGCATTTTGGAATTCAAAAAAACAATCATTTATTAGACATATGTTTAATTTGATGACATCATGGGCATTAGTATGCGATGTATGGTATTTAGAACCACAAACCATTAGAGATGGTGAAACTGCAACCCAATTTTCAAATCGTGTAAAGGCAATGATTGCCAAGAAAGCAGGTATTATTAACGTACCATGGGATGGTTATTTGAAATACTTTAAACCAGGTCCAAGATTTGCAGAACACAAACAAAAAATTTTTGCCTCACGTTTCAAAAAGAAGTTTGCATCAAATGATGCAGAAGATAATGAAAGTAGTAATACAAATAATAATGATGAAGAAGATAATGAAAATAGTAATACAAATAATAATGACTCTAATAATAGCAATAGCAGCACCAATGGAAAGGACCAACCCGAAAATAATATTATTAATAATGTAAAACAAAGAAAATTAGCCAACCCAAATGAATAGTATAATATCTAAATCATATTTTAATAATAAATAGTTTAGTATAAAATAGATAAAAATAAAGTAAAAAATAATAATTTAATATAATTATTATTAATAAAAATTGTTTCATTAAAATTTTTAAAATACAAAACTAGTGTACATTTTTATTTTTTATTATTTAACATTTAAATCATTATTATTGTTGTTGTTTTTATTGTTGTTGTTGTGATCTCCAAGCTTTTAACATTTTTTCCAATCTAATTCTGTCACCAATAATTTCAGTAATTTTCATTAAATCCATTGTGGAAATATCGTTCAATAAATCGACAGTAATGGAGTGATCTTCGAAATGTTCGATGTATGATGATAATTGATTATCTTTTAACATTACTCTTAAAACTAAAATTTTATCAATTTCATTTCTAATTGATTTGTGGATTTCTTCTAAACGAGCACCAGCACCTCTTAATACTTTTTCGACAAGAATTTGATCGTTGATGGATAAGAGTTCACTGCCGGCTAAGCAGTATAAATAGAACTCTGGGTTGTTGGTGATGACCTCTGGACAATTCATACGGAAAAGTAACCATGATTGGAAATTTCTAGCAGACCAGTCTTTGATGTAACGTGGAATGGCTGCTAATTCGTTGAGTGGTGATGGTGGGATCTCTCTCTTTGGGTCGGCTAATACAATATTAATTGGAACGTTAAGTGCAAGATCTACACAATTTGGTAAATCTAAAACTGCACGAATCTTATATTCAATTTTAATTAAACCAGATTGATAAAGAGTGTTAACCATATTGGCTGGAGTTTCGACAACCATTACTTGGGTAGTAGTTTGGTTTTGTTTAACCTTTGGATAGAAGTTTTTGTTTGTTTTTACAATTTGGTATGGTAATGATTTGTCGCCATCGAGTGTATCGGTTCTTAAAAGCTCCAAATCGAGCTTCTTAATTTTCTTTTTACTATTATTAGTGACAGTGCAAGTTAATTCAATGTCCTCACCTGGGAAGTATGAGTCTTTGGGTGCTTGGATACAGAGCTCGATGGAACCTCCAGTAAGTGGTGATTTGCTGGTTCTCTCTTGAATTGGTTTCTTGGTAACTCTATGAATGGTGTCTTCAATGTTAACAACATTAATAACCTTGGTAATTTCAATATCTGGTGAATTGACGATATCAGCATTAAAAACGAACTTGTATTGAACAACATAGTTTGAAATTTCGATAGATGAGTTGCAGTTCTTTGGGATAAAGAACTCAAATGGATAGATGTGTTTACCGACACCCAATGAAACCTTGGTATTAGCCAAACCAGTAGTTTGTAAAAGATTACGATGATCTTGAATTAACTCTCTGTGTTTTTTGCCACGGAATGAGATTTTACCCTTTAAACCAACAAACAAACTTCTAACTACAATTGGTTGGTGTACATAAAGAACCAACGATGCATTGACTGGCTCACCAGTGACATAATATTTCTTTTGATACATTTCACCTGGTAATAAAAACTCTGCTTTTAATGCAGTTGGTATAGTTTGCAAATAAATTGGGTCATAGTAAACTGGTGGTGGTAATAATCCTGCTGATGTCATCATTGTTGGTGGTGGTTGTTGAACAAAACTCATTTGTGGTGGTGGTGGTTGTTGACCAATAGTCATTTGTTGAACTGGTGCACCTGGTGCAGCTATGGTTGTTTGGAATGGTGGAGTGAATTGGAAACTAACTCTTACAAAACCTTTCTTATCCAATGCTAACCACATATCATTTTGTCCTGAAAGTGATGAGTTTCTTAATGTTGCTAAATCAAAGTTAACAAAACCCAATTTATCATGTGCTCCAATTCTATCCCAATCGAAAACTTCAATTTGGAAACTTGAATATTCATTTACAACTCTATTATTATTAAAAAAAAACATATTAAAATAAATAACATATTACTATTAATATATTTATATATTAAATATTATAATACTAACAAGTCTACAGTATAGTTCCATTGTGGTGCCAATGACTTTTTGACTACTTCAGTTTTAAACTTGTCGCCATTAAACTTTAATATTGCATATGGGTCTGATGATGTGCCATTATCGGCAGCAATCAAATCTTTGGCCTCTATAATAAATAATCTTAAGTTTCTTGTATCCATTTTTAATTTATGTTATAGTTATTTTTAAAAATGAAAAAATTTATTTAAAAAAAAAAAAATGGTGGTTTTTATAATAAAAAATATAAAAATATAAAAATAAATTTTGATTTTTTTTTTTTTTTTTTTGAAAAAAACAAAACCACATTTTGGTGTGTCTATGCAATAAACTGTGAAAACTTGTCCAAAAATTTTGGGAAGATATTATATGCCATATTTTATTATACACGATTTGATTTTTTTCTTATTATTATAAAACGATCAATAAAAATATCTTTTTTTTTTTGTGTAGGTCAATATAAATTAAAGGGCGTAAAAAAAAAACTTTCAGACACCTCAAAAATTTAATTTTTTAGTATACACAAAAAAAAAAAAAATATATAAAAATAAATATTATAATTCAATAAAAATAAATAAATATAATTCCAATAAAAATAACTTAATATAAATTATGAACAAAAATTTGATATTAAATCAAGTAATTCTTTTTTTTTTCTTTAATTATTTAAAAAATTGTTTTCTAACACACGCACTACCAGTCAACTATTTTTTTCGAGAAAGATAGTATAGCAAAAAGCAGAAATTTATTCTCCTCACGTGAGAAAACCCTATAGTAATTGATACTACGGACTATAACATCTCCGGGATAATGCGAGGATTGTACTATGACTTTAAAAATTGAAAATTTGACAAAAAATATTTCAACTATTATTTGAAAAGTTATGGGAAAAAAAAAAATTTGGTTTGTAAAAAAAAAAAAAAAAAAAAAAACGAAAATTATTTTTTTGAAATGATGTAATTGCAATAATTTATTTATATCCATCAATCATTTTCATATTGTATTTTCAATATTAATATTAATATTTATATTATCTTTTTTTATTATTTTTTATTTTTATTTTTTAAGTTTTTGGGGGGAAAAAAAAAGAGGGATAATAAACATATTATTTAAATTAAATAATAGTTAAAAACTAATATGATTTGATTGATTTTATATTATTTGTAATTTGATGGTTTATTCAAATGATGATCAATGATCAATTTTTTTTAAAATTTTAACTGTTAAAAAATAAAAAAAAAAAAAATAAAAATTGAATATAAAGAAAGAAACTACTATATTTAATCAATTTATTTGAATATTTTATAATTTCTTTAAAATACTATTAATTAACATATAAATAAATAAATATGAAGATAAGACTCCAAATTTGGAACGAAAATTTTTTTTTTTTTTTTTTTTTTTTTTTTTTTTTTTAAATTTTTTTCATTTCTTTTGAAAAATTTTTTTGAATTGAATTTTTATTTTTATTTTTTTATTCTCTTTTTATTACATTTCATTTTTATATTAAACAGTTTATTTAAACAATAGTTAATAAATAAAAAGAGAAAAATCAATATAGTTTTATAGGTTTTTTTTTTTTTTTTTTAAAAATTTAAAGGTGATAGATAAAATCTAAAAGAATACTATTCGATAGTATTATTTGTTTTGGAATATTATTTATAAAACAACACCGATAGATTTAAACACTATAAAAATTATCTTTTTATTTGCTTTTTAAATCGATTTTCAATCATTTTTATAATTTAAATTTAAAAAAAATGGATCAAGATCATTCAAATTCAAATTTAGATGAAAAATGTAAGTATTTATATTACTTATTAATAATATAATCAATATTTTAAAATTTTATAAATATAAACTAATTCATAACTATTATTATTTTTATTATTATTAATCTTTTAAATTTTTTAGCAAGAAAATGGATTCAATTAAATAATAAGAAATATAGTGAAAAAAGAAAATTTGGGGTTGTAGAGATTAGAAAGGAGGATATGCCACCAGAGCATCTTAGAAAGATTATTAAGGATCATGGTGATATGTCCAATAGAAAGTTTAAGGATGATAAAAGAGTATATTTGGGTGCACTCAAGTATATGCCACATGCAATTTTAAAGTTGTTAGAAAATATGCCAATGCCATGGGAACAAGTTAAATATGTCAAGGTATTATATCATTTATCTGGTGCAATTACATTTGTTAACGAAATCCCATTAGTTATAGAGCCAGTTTATATCTCTCAATGGGCAACAATGTGGGTAACCATGAGAAGAGAAAAGAGAGATCGTAAACATTTCCGTCGTATGAAGTTTCCATGTTTTGATGATGAAGAGCCACCATTAGACTATGCTGATAACATTTTAGACATTGAAGTTGAAGACCCTGTTCAAATGGACTTGGACGAAAATGATGATGAGGCTGTTATTGATTGGTTTTATGATTCGAAACCATTAGTTAATTCAAAATATGTAAATGGCACAAGTTATAAGTATGTATAAAACAATTTTATTTTATTTTTCATTTTATTTTTTAAATTATACTAATTAATATTAATTATTTTAATCTTTAATAATATTTAGGAAATGGAGATTAGATTTACCAATTATGTCAGCATTATATAGATTAGCATCACCATTACTCAGTGATTTAACAGATAGCAATTATTTTTATTTATTTGATGATAATAGTTTTATGACATCAAAAGCATTAAATATGGCAATTCCAGGTGGTCCAAAATTTGAACCATTATTCCGTGATGTCGATGATGACGATGAAGATTGGAACGAATTTAATGATATTAATAAGATCATTATTAGAAATAAAATTAGAACTGAATATAAAATTGCATTCCCATATCTTTATAATAGTAGACCACGTAAAGTTAAAATTCCACATTATCATCAACCAAATAATTGTTATATCAAGAATGATTCACCAGATTTACCAGGATTTTACTTTAGTCCAGCATTAAACCCAATTCCATCATATAAAACAAATAAAAATGATCAATCAGAATGTAAGTTATTAAAATAATATAAAATAAATATAAATAATAAATTACTAATATTTTTTAATTTTAATTATTTTAGATGGTGATGAGGATGATGAATTCATTTTACCAGAAGAAATAGAACCAATTTTAGAAGAACATGAATTTAATAAAGAAAATACAGCAAATGGTTTACAATTATATTGGGCACCAAGACCATTCAATTTAAGATCAGGTAGAACAAGAAGAGCAGAGGATATTCCATTGGTTAAATCATGGTATAGAGAACATTGTCCACAAGAACATCCAATCAAAGTACGTGTCAGTTATCAAAAATTATTAAAATGCCATATTTTAAATAAATTACATCATCGTAGACCCAAAGCTCAATCCAAAAAGAATTTATTCAAATCATTAAAAGCTACTAAATTTTTCCAATCTACAGAAATTGATTGGGTAGAGGCAGGTCTTCAAGTTTGTCGTCAAGGTTACAACATGCTTAATCTTTTAATTCACAGAAAGAATTTAAATTATTTACATTTAGATTACAACTTTTATTTAAAACCAATTAAAACTCTTACAACTAAGGAAAGAAAGAAATCTAGATTTGGTAATGCATTCCATTTATGTCGTGAAATTTTACGTCTCACTAAATTGGTAGTTGATGTTCACGTTAAATTTAGATTAGGTGATGCTGATGCTTTTCAATTGGCCGATGCCATTCAATATTTATTCTCTCATTTAGGTTTATTAACTGGTATGTACAAATACAAGTACCGTTTAATGAGACAAATCCGTATGTGTAAAGATCTCAAACATTTAATTTATTACCGTTTCAATACTGGTGCTGTTGGTAAAGGTCCTGGTTGTGGTTTCTGGGCTCCAATGTGGAGAGTATGGCTCTTCTTTTTACGTGGTATCGTACCATTACTCGAAAGATGGTTGGGTAATCTTTTAGCAAGACAATTTGAAGGTAGACAAACTAAAGGTATGGCTAAAACTCTCACAAAACAACGTGTTGAAAGTCATTTCGATTACGAGCTTCGTGCTGCAGTTGTTCATGATATCCTTGATATGATGCCAGAAGGTATCAAGGCCAATAAGTCACGTGTTATTCTTCAACATTTAGCAGAGGCTTGGAGATGTTGGAAAGCAAATATCCCATGGAAAGTACCAGGTCTCCCAATTCCAATCGAAAATATGATTCTCCGTTATGTTAAATCCAAGGCTGATTGGTGGACTAATGTCGCTCATTACAATCGTGAACGTATTAAGCGTGGTGCTACCGTCGATAAAACTGCCGCTAAAAAGAATTTAGGTCGTCTCACTCGTCTTTGGTTAAAGGCTGAACAAGAACGTCAACATAATTATCTTAAAGATGGTCCATACGTTTCAGCTGAAGAGGCTGTTGCTATTTATACTACCACTGTCCATTGGTTAGAAAAACGTAGATTCTCTGCAATTCCATTCCCACAAACATCATATAAACACGATATTAAAATTCTTACATTGGCTTTAGAACGTCTTAAAGAAGCCTATAGTGTCAAGTCACGTTTAAATCAATCCCAAAGAGAAGAGCTTTCATTAGTTGAACAAGCATACGATAATCCACACGATGCTTTAGCTCGTATTAAGAGACATTTATTAACTCAACGTACTTTCAAAGAGGTCGGTATAGAATTTATGGATATGTACACTCATTTAGTTCCAATCTTCGATGTAGATCCATTTGAAAAGATCACCGATGCCTATTTAGATCAATACCTTTGGTATGAAGCTGATAAACGTCAATTATTCCCTAACTGGGTTAAACCATCAGATAATGAACCACCACCAGTTTTAATTCATAAATGGTGTCAAGGTATTAATAATCTTGATAATATTTGGGAAACAAATAATGGAGAATGTGTAGTACTTTTAGAAACTCAGTTTAGCAAAGTTTATGAAAAGATGGATCTTACTCTTATGAATCGTCTTCTTCGTTTAATTGTAGATCAAAATATTGCCGATTACATGTCTGGTAAAAACAATATCGTCATCAACTATAAAGATATGAACCATACCAATTCATATGGTCTCATTCGTGGTCTTCAATTTGCTTCATTTATTTTCCAATATTATGGTTTAGTATTGGATCTTTTAGTATTGGGCTTAAATCGTGCTTCTGAAATTGCAGGTCCACCAAATCTTCCAAATGCATTCTTAACCTATCCAAATGTCGAAACAGAAACCAAACATCCAATTCGTTTATATAGTCGTTACGTAGATCGTATCCATGTACTTTATCGTTTCGATGCTGAACAAGCCAGAGACCTTATTCAACGTTATATGTCAGAACATCCAGATCCAAATAATGAAAACGTTGTTGGTTATAATAATAAGAAATGTTGGCCACGTGATTGCCGTATGCGTTTAATGAAGCATGACGTAAATTTAGGTAGAGCTGTATTCTGGGGTATTAAAAATCGTTTACCACGTTCATTAACTACCATCGAATGGGAAGATAGTTTCGTTTCAGTATATAGTAAAGACAATCCAAATCTTTTAATGAATATGTGTGGTTTCGATATTCGTATTCTTCCAAAATGCCGTACACCAGCAGATCAATTAGTACCAAAAGATGCAGTTTGGAGTCTTCAAAATGTAAATACTAAAGAACGTACCGCTCAAGCATTCCTTCGTGTTGATAAAGATTCACAAGATCGTTTCGAAAATCGTATTCGTATGATTTTAATGGCAAGTGGTTCAACTACTTTTACCAAGATTGTAAATAAATGGAATACTGCATTGATTGGTCTTATGACTTATTTCCGTGAAGCTGTTGTTACAACTCGTGAAATGTTAGAAATTTTAGTACGTTGTGAAAATAAAATTCAAACTCGTGTTAAAATTGGTTTAAACAGTAAGATGCCAAATCGTTTCCCACCAGTCGTATTTTACACTCCAAAAGAATTGGGTGGTTTAGGTATGTTAAGTATGGGTCATGTTTTAATTCCACAAAGTGACCTTCGTTATTCACGTCAAACAGATTCCGGTATCACCCATTTCACATCAGGTATGAGCCATGACGAAGATCAATTAATTCCAAATCTTTATCGTTACATTCAACCATGGGAACAAGAAATTAAAGATTCACAAAGAGTATGGGCCGAATATGCTATCAAATACGAAGAAGCCAAATCTCAAAATAAAAACCTTACACTCGAAGATCTTGAGGATTCATGGGATCGTGGTATTCCACGTATTAATACATTGTTCCAAAAGAGTCGTCACACCTTGGCTTATGATAAGGGTTGGAGAGTTCGTACCGATTGGAAACAATATCAAGTTCTCAAAAATAATCCATTCTGGTGGACTAATCAACGTCATGATGGTAAACTTTGGAATCTTAACAATTATCGTACAGATATCATTCAAGCATTGGGTGGTGTAGAAGGTATTTTAGAACATACATTATTCAAAGGTACATATTTCCCAACCTGGGAGGGTTTGTTCTGGGAAAAAGCCTCAGGTTTTGAAGAGTCTATGAAATATAAGAAATTAACACATGCCCAACGTTCTGGTCTTAATCAAATTCCAAATCGTCGTTTCACTTTATGGTGGTCACCAACTATTAATCGTAAGAATGTCTACGTTGGTTTCCAAGTTCAATTAGATCTTACTGGTATTTTCATGCATGGTAAAATTCCAACTCTTAAAATCTCTTTAATTCAAATTTTCCGTGCCCATCTTTGGCAAAAGATTCATGAATCTTTAGTTATGGATCTTTGTCAAGTTTTCGATCAAGAATTAGATAATCTCGAAATCTCTGTTGTAAATAAAGAAGCTATTCATCCACGTAAATCTTATAAAATGAATTCTTCATGTGCTGATATTCTTTTACGTGCTACCCACAAATGGCAAGTTTCACGTCCATCATTGTTAACCGATAATCGTGATAGCTACGATAGTTCAACTACTCAATATTGGTTAGATGTTCAATTAAAATGGGGTGATTTCGATTCACACGATATTGAAAGATACAGTAGAGCCAAATTCCTTGATTACACTACCGATTCAATGTCACTCTATCCATCACCAACTGGTTGTTTAATTGGTTTAGATTTAGCCTATAACATGTATAGTGCTTTTGGTAATTGGTTCTTGGGTGTTAAACCATTAGTCCAAAAAGCAATGGCCAAAATATTAAAATCAAATCCAGCTCTCTATGTATTACGTGAACGTATTCGTAAAGGTCTTCAATTATACAGTTCTGAACCAACTGAGCCATATCTTTCTTCACAAAACTTTGGTGAATTATTCAGTAATAAAATCATGTGGTTTGTTGATGATTCAAATGTATATCGTGTAACTATCCATAAAACTTTCGAAGGTAATTTAACAACTAAACCAATCAATGGTGCAATTTTCATTTTCAATCCACGTACTGGTCAATTATTCCTCAAAATTATTCATACTGATGTATGGTTAGGTCAAAAACGTCTTGGTCAATTAGCTAAATGGAAAACTGCTGAAGAAGTTGCTGCTCTTATTCGTTCACTTCCAGTCGAAGAACAACCAAAACAAATCATTGCTACTCGTAAAGGTATGATGGATCCATTAGAGGTACATCTTTTAGATTTCCCAAATATCGTTATTCAAGGTAGTGAATTACAACTTCCATTCCAAGCTTGCTTAAAGGTAGAGAAATTTGGTGACCTCATTTTGAAGGCTACAGAGCCAAAAATGGTACTCTTTAATATCTATGATGATTGGTTAAGCACCATTCATTCATACACTGCTTTCCTCCGTCTCATTTTAATTTTAAGAGCCTTACACGTTAATCTCGAACGTACAAAGATTATTTTGAAACCAAATAAGAATGTTATAACCCAACCACATCACATTTGGCCAACATTAACCGAACAAGAATGGCTCACTGTCGAATCACAACTCAAAGATTTAATTTTAGCAGATTTTGGTAAAAGAAATAATGTTAATGTAGCTTCACTCACCCAATCAGAAATTAGAGATATTATTTTAGGTATGGAAATTTCAGCACCATCTCAACAACGTGAAGATCAAATTGCAGAAATTGAAAAACAAAAACAAGAAGCCTCACACTTAACTGCAGTTACAGTTCGTACAACTAATGTTCATGGTGAAGAAATTATTTCAACAGCCACAAGTCCACATGAACAAAAAGTATTTTCATCTAAAACCGATTGGCGTGTACGTGCAATCTCTGCAACCAATCTTCATTTACGTACCAATCAAATTTATGTTAATTCAGATTTAGCTAAAGAAGGTGGTTTCACATATGTTATGCCAAAGAATATCCTCAAAAAATTCATTACTATTGCAGATCTTAGAACTCAAATTATGGGTTATATCTATGGTGTAAGTCCACCTGACAATTCACAAGTTAAAGAAATTCGTTGTATAGTTTTAGTTCCACAATGGGGTACCCCAGTTCATATTACAGTTCCAAATCAATTACCAGAACATGAATATCTTAAAGATTTAGAACCATTAGGTTGGATTCATACACAACCAACAGAGTTACCACAACTATCACCACAAGATGTCATTATGCACTCAAAGATTATGTCTGATAATAAACAATGGGATGGTGAAAAAACAATTGTAATGTCTGTATCAGTTGCTTGGCCATGTACATTAACTGCTTATCATTTAACACCAAATGGTTATGAATGGGGTAAAAATAATAAAGATTCACTCAATTATCAAGGTTATCAGCCATCATTCTATGAAAAAGTTCAAATGTTATTATCCGATCGTTTCCTTGGCTTTTATATGGTACCTGACCGTGGTTCATGGAATTACAATTTCATGGGTGTAAAACATAGCGCCAATATGACTTATGGTTTGAAATTAGATACCCCAAAGAATTTCTACGACGAATCTCACAGACCATCACATTTCCAAAATTGGACTCAAATGGCACCCTCAACTAATGATGATCAATCAAATGATAACGAGCCAGATACCGAAGATTTATTTGAATAATCACATAAATTAATTACCAATAAATTTGTAAAAAAAACATATTTTAAAATAAAATCCTTATTTAATTTTTGTAAATTTTTTATATCTTTACAAATATTTTGTTAAATTTACTTTTTATTATTATATTTAAAAAAAGATTAATATTATAATTATGAAAAAAAGATACTGAATTTTAATTTATTTTTTTAATTTTTTATAAAAAGTAAATTGTATAGTTATATCTATTTTGTTTATATGTGTATTTATTTATATAAATAGTAAGATTTTTCTAATGAAACATTTTGATTGCCTCTATTGGCGTGTGAGTAGGTGGTTGAATAGTAGATGGATAAGCAAAACCCCAATGTTTGATTTGTGCCTTAAATGTGTTGACACTGAATAAGAAAGAATTAAAACCCCAATATTTGTTTTGTGTGTTTTATGTTTTGGCGCTGAATAAGAAAGAATAAAAACCCCAATATTTGATTTGTGACTTAAAATTGTTGTACCGAAAAAGAAAGAATGAACCCCAATGTATGAATAAGAAAGAATAAAAACCCCAATATTTGATGTGTGACTTAAAAGTTTTGAACCGAAAAAGAAAGAATGAGCCCCAATGTCTGAATAAGAAAGAATAAAAACCCCAATATTTGATGTTTGACTTAAAAGTGTTGTACAGAAAAAGAAAGAAAGAAAGAACCCCAATGTATGATTTGTGACCTAAAATTGTTGATACTGAAAAAGAGAGAATAAACAAGAACCCAATGTTTGATTTGTTACTTAAAAGTGATGTACCGAAAGAGAATGAATTAATTTGTGACTTATAACAGTTGATACAGAAAAAGAAAGAATAAACGTGAACCCAAAGTTTGATTTGTGACATAAATGTGTTGATATGGAAAACAAAAGAACAAGAATCAATGATTATTTTGAGACTTAAATGTGTTGATACGGAAAAAGAAAGAACAAGAACCAATTTTTATTTGAGACTTAAATATGTTGATACGGAAAAAGAAAGAATTATAATGTAGAGGAAACAATGAAAAATTAGATTTTACCTAATTAAGAATTAAAATTAAATATTAGTTTCTTTTATATTCAAATATAAAAATAATTATTTAAATATTTTAATTATAGTTACCTTAAGAGTTTTTTTGTTATAAAATTGACTTTGAACATCTAGAATTGTTTCTGTATAGTTGAACTAATGTGATGCCTAATTTCTAGCATTAGTTACTCTCTGAATAAATTATTAATGAAATTAATTAATATATATTTTTATTAAGTATAAATATGAATGTGTAAATTACTTACGATGATGTCATGAAACTCTTCTCTACAGTTTGGGCAGGTATTGATACGATTAGACCATTGTTGAATACATCTGTAGCAAAATTTATGGAGGCAATCAATTGTAGCCATTTCATTAATATTTATAAAATTAAGACAAATGGTACATTTTTCATTGGTTTCTAAACGTTCACCTTCCAAATTATCTCTTTCTAATCTTTCTCTTTCTTCCCTCTCATTTTCTTCTCTTTCCCTTTGAGCTCTTTCCATTTCTTGGTTTTCCCTTTGAGCTCTTTCCCTTTCTTGTCTTTGTCTCTCTCTTTCTCTTTGATCTGTTGCTCTTATTCTTTCTGCTCTTACTCTGTCTCTTTGGATTCTTTGTAATCTATCTCTTTCTTGTTTTTCCATATATTCTCTTTCTCTTTGAATTATTTCCAATTTTCTTCTTTCTAGAGCTTCTTTTATTTGTCTTTCTCTCTCTAATATTTCGATTCTTTCTAATTCTTCCCTTTCTCTATATTCTTTTTGGACTCTTTCAATCTCTTTGAGTCTTTCCAATTTAGCCCTTTCTTCTCTTTCTTTTATTTGTCTTTCCATTTCTAATATTTTTATTCTCTCTATTTCTTCTCTTTCTTTTCTTAATCTTTCCATTTCAACAATTTGCTTATCCCTTCTTAAACTCTCTTCATCTTCGAGTTTTTGTTTTTTGGCAAATACTTTATCACACTTAATAATTTCATTATCATATTCTAATGATCTCTTCTTGATTGTGTGATTTCTAGTTGATGCAAATGTGAATGGAACAGATGAATGTCTTTGTGGTTTTGGGATATTACGTTGTTGAGAAGAATTTGAATAATCTTGAGATTGTGGGCTATTGACTGATGAGGCACTTGGGCTGTTAAATTGATGTGGTGGTGGTTGATTGCTTGATGTTGAGTCTTGTGGGTTTTGTTGTGGGTATTGGTGGCAATCATTTGGATTTAAATTATTGTCAATTGGGGCAGAGTTTTGAGTGTAGATGATGTTGTTATCGTTGATTGGGGTTGAATGTTGTGTACCGGTGAAGTTACTATTACTTATGCTATTATTGTTATTGTTATTGTTATTATTATTGTTGATTGGGGCAGAATGTTGTGAATCGGTGATGTTGCCATTATTGATTGGGGTTGAATGTTGTGTACTGGTGAAGTTGATATTATTGATTGGGGTTGAATGTTGTGAACCGGTGATGTTGCCATTGTTGATTGGGGTTGAATGTTGAGTACCGGTGAAGTTGCTATTAATTATGCTATTATTGTAATTGTTATTGTTATTGTTAATATTATTTTTGAATGGGGCAGAATGTTGTGTGTTGGTGAAGCTGCCATTAATGATTGGGGTATAATGATGTGGGTTGGTGAAGTTGCTATTATTGTTATTTCTATTATTATTGTTATTGTTGATTGGGGCAGAATGTTGTGAGTAGGTTATATTGTTGTTCTTTATTGGAATAGAAGGTTGTGTGTTGGTGAGGCTGCTATTAATGATTGGGGTATAATGATTTGTGTTGGTAATGCTACTATTATTGTTATTGCTATTATTATTGTTATTGCTATTATTATTATTATTATTATTATTATTATTATTATTATTGTTATTGTTATTGTTATTGTAAGCAAAATATTTATTTATTAAATATACTAATGAAAAACTAATAATAGCAAATAAAAAAACAATTATTAAATTATTCATTTTTAAATGGTAATTAATAAAGCTATGTGAAATGTGATTTAATGTGGATGTAAATTATTTTATAAAAAATTATTATTGCAATTATTAAAAATTATAAAATTTGGGAAATATTATAATAAAAAAATAAAATTATATGAGTATATGATTATTTGTATGTGAATAAAATAATAAAGAAAAAAAAAAAAAAATTTTTTTTAAAAATGAAAAAATTTTTTAAAAAAGTTAAACAGTGTTTTAAACAATGTTTTAAACAATGTTATAATAAAAAAAATTATTTAACAAAATTATTTAAATTATATGGAAAGATTCCTCACTACTATTAAAGTTATGATATTAAATTACATTACCATTATAATTTTTTTTAATATATTGGTGATTGGCCATTTTTTATTGGTCACTGTAATTATTCAGCTTATGTTCATAATAAGCTGAATCTTTACAAAGTAATATTGTGATTATATAGGCAGTTTATGAACCACAGGTAATTTTTAAATGTTAATTGGCAATTAACGGTTTTAGCATAAAATTCGTTCAATGATTATTATTTTTTTAATAAAAAAAAAAAAAAAAAAAAAAAAAAAAAAAAAAAAAATGAAGATAAAGATGATTTTAGAATTCTTGAAAGAATAAAAATAAATAATTTATTATTTATTATATATTTTATTTATTAATTTTATTATTTTAAAAATTAACTAGTATTAATAACTAAAATTTTTTATTTTTTTTTGTTGTAAATAAATATTAAATAGTTCACTTTTTTGTGATTCTAAAGAGTATGTGGAAGGAGATATAAATGAGTTTAAAGAGGAGCTTGCTAGTAGTGATAGATTTTAACTTGACATTTAAATTCTTGATTGCCACTAAGTTTTTAATATTTTACCAATATCTAAATAAAATAGAAATAAAAAATGTTAATATACATATATTTGTTGTCTCTTTATTATTTTATACCGCATTTTTCTATTTCTTACTGATACCAAAACGGATTTTTAACATTTTTTTTGATAACTTTATTGGTTGAAATCACATGACAAATCTGTTAGTCAAATCATTTTGTACATAAAGTGGTGTAAATTTGACTAATCTGGATTAGTATTGTATTGATACATTCATAATACCCTTTGTTTGCCTCTAATTTATATGGCTTTCTATATTTAGATGTGCTATATGGTAAAAGCAATACTGGTGAAATTTTGTAATGACATTCTGCGTTTACAAACATAATATTAAAATAATAAAAATAAAAATGAAAGAATAATAAATTTATTAATTATCATTTTTTTAAGTGATTTTAAATAAAAGTTTCATATAAATCAATGATTTGAAAAAAAAATGATTTAAAATAATAAATTTAAAAATAAAATTAAAATTAAAAAATTTAAAAAAAATAAAAAAAAAAGAATTTTTCCTCAAAAGAAATGAATATAAAATGATTATAAAAAAAGGGGTTATACCCACACATGACTTTTTATAGTAGTAGATTCATTTTTATCAATAAATTAAATAGTTGAAGTTTCCTAAAAAGTAATAGGTAGAATATTATAAAAAAAAATTATAGTATTTTACAAATTTCAACAATGGATTATACTATTAAAATGGAGCATCACTATTAGAAATTAAAAAAATATTCTATAATAATGAAAACTTTTTAGTAATTATGTTCCATTTTCATTATTTTATATAAAATATTAGATAATAATAATTACAGCTGTAATATTAATAAAAAATACAACCCTCCTCTAAATAATAACTTCCATCAATCACATTATATTTACTATATAATAGAATTGAAGAAGATAAAAAAGAATTTATATAATAACTCAAGAAATAGTAAATGTTAATAAACAATGAAATCGAAAGAGAGTATTCATTAATGATATAGAATCAAAAATTAGAATTATAATTTAGAAAATTAAAAAGCAATTTTAAAAAATCAAACTAAAAATTTAGAAGTAACACCATATACAATAATCACATCATATTCTATAATCTTGTTTGCATCATTCTTTATCGAGAAAAAAAATTTACAAAGAATACTAGTATGCTAAATAAAGTTATAAATTCTTTTTTATTTATTTAATATTTAATTATAGTATTTGTCTGGGTATTGTTTATTTTAATTAAAATATTGTAATTGAAGTTAATATTTTTAACGACAAATATTTCTGCTTCCTGCAATTCATCATTGTGTATTTTAACTCAATATTTTTTCGGACCATGAAAATCAACTAAAAAAAATTCTCATCCGAGGTTTTATAGTGTAATTGGTTAGCACCCGGGACTTTGAATCCCGTAATCTGAGTTCGAGTCTCAGTAGAACCAGTATTTTTTTAGATTGAGGGAAAATAGACACTATCTTCCTGGTGATATATACAATTTTAGCTATAAATTGTAATGTGGGGGAGCAATGATAGCCAAGTGGTCGAACTAATTTCCTACAAGTTACCGCTCCGGGTTCGAAACCTAGTCTCAGCAGATTTTCCGAATCACACGAATTGACGTTACCGTGCCCAACTTGAATGCAGTTTGGTAAAACTCATAAAAGTATAAAAAAAAACAATATGAAGTCTGTTTTTCAGAAATAAACTTTTAATTTATTTTAATTTAGTGATATTAAATAACAATTAGAAATTTTAAAATAAAAAAATAAAAAAATAAAACTCAAATTATTTTCATAAATAATCTTTAAAAAATATTAAAAAAAATAAAAAATGGAATTACTTTTTTATTTTTTTTTTGAATTTTTTTTTTAAAAACGAAAAATATTTTTAATTTCTTTTTTTATTTTTTCTTTTAATTATTACACCCATTTATTTTCTTTTTTATATATATCCAATAAAAGATGAATAGTTTAATAAATAAAAACAGTAATATAGATGAATTAATAGGAGAAGAGTTTGATGAAATGGCAATTAAATTTTTATCATTTGCCATTTTAGATTGCAATATTAATTTATGTAATTCAATTATCGAATATTATGAAGATCATATAAAAGAAGCATCAACACCGATACTAAAGCAAATTTTAAATAATGAAGCCAAATTAGCAGAGTTTAAATCAGATATTGCAACTATGAAAGACAGCAGTTTTTATAATGAGGTTTACCAAATCAAAGAGTCAACAAGAGTAATGGATAATCATCACAGTTTTAGCGAGGTATTTAAAATTATTGTATTTTTAATTGAAACATTGGTATCAAATACAATCGATACGGATTCAGCATTAATTAAATATAAAGACTCAATCGACAAACTATTGCAACATCTTTACAACCTAACTTTGCAATCAAGTGAAGCTACCTTTGAAGAAATCGGCCAACTAAACCAGTACTACAAAGATCACCAAATAGAAATAAAATCACTAGAGTTTTTTAAAATATTTTATTATTTACACCATAAATCAAACTCATTATCAAACTATTTTTTATCAAGAACCAAAAACCAATTTAATAAAATCAACTATTACAATAACGATAATAAAGAAAATACACAATTAAATCAGTATTTAAGCGAACAACACTTTACATACGAAACTATCAAATGCAAAAAGTTTAAAAGTTTATTTTTAAGAATTTTCAAATTAATAGAATCCTATAATATCGAAGGTGAAGAACAGCAACCACAGCAACAACAAAATGAAGATAAAATGAATGAAGATTACAGTGAAAGCGAAAGTGATAACGAAAAAGATGAAGATGAAAAAAATAAAAACAAAAAAATAATAAATTTAGATAATAGATTCAAATTTAATTTTTATTTCGATGTCCACTTTTTATTAAATATTAAAGATTACGAAACTCTTATTAAATTGGTTCAAAGTATGGATTCAGAGAAATTAAAGAATTTAAATTATTTAGGTTTTTTAAACAATATCGATTTAAACGATCCGGAATGCTATCAATTATTAATCGACTTTGTCAAATTTGGTTTCTTCAAGAACCGTTTAATTGTAGAACATGCATTAAAGAACTCAAGATTGGACCTAGTCAAATTAGTATTAGAGAATAATAAAAACTACAACCGTAGCAAAAAGATCAAAAGATTATCTCAAGAAATTTTAGTATCAGTATTTAACAAATCCGAAAAACAAACAGATTATGAATTGGTAGAATATTTAACTTTAGATCAAAAAGATTTAATATTTGACAGCCTTTTAAATAAATTTAGTTTATTCAATAGAGCATTTTTAAACAATAATATCCAACTTTGCAAAATAATAATGAAGAATGCCCCCACATATGTAGAAATTAAAATCAAAGATATCAAAGAAAGTATTAAAAACCATCACTTTCAAATTTTAGAGTTCTTTTATATTATTGGTAGCAAGGTATTAAAAAATAGAATATTAACCCTTACAAAGAAATATTATAGAAATCATTCAAAATTAACTTGGTTAAAATACGATTTATAATAAAAAAAAATAAAAAAAGTTATATATATTACTATCATTAGCAACTTCCTAAATAATAACAATATAGATTATAATAATAACAATAATAATAGAGTAAATAATAATAACAATTTGGTTTCTAAAAAAAAATTTATAATTTTTAATAAATTTTAAATATATATATTTATATATTTTTATTTTTATTTTTATTTTTTAAATCTTTATTTCTTTTAACTTAATACTTATTTACAGATATAATCATTCTCAAAAGAAAAAGTTTAAAATAAGGAATGTGAAAGACCAGAAGAAAAACTCACTCACAAAGATTCCAAATTGGGAAAAAATCCCAGTATCTATAGTTATATTTTATTTTCCATAGAACCAGATGACGAAGAAGATGAATTAAAAGAACTAGAGGATTGTTTTAATGTTAAAATTGTTGATAGCAAATTTGTTGGCCTCGAATCACCAAAAAAAAGAAGAAAAAAAAGAAAAGAAACAACAAAAAGATGAATAAAAAAAATTTAGTTTTATTAATATTACTATTTCCATTATTATTTTTATTTGTTGTTATTTATTTTATTCATCTTGTTCTTCATCTTCAAAATCAACATAATCATCCAAGAAACCTGGGTGAGGTTGTTGTTGTTGTTGTTGATTAGCTCTTTGAACAGATGGATCGTTCCATGGCATTAATGAATGGAAAAAAGATAAAACTGGGTTTTCTGGGCCATTATATTCTGGGTTATCTTCAAAAATCGGTTGGTTATGGTTTGGAATTGCTTGATTACCTCTAAATTGTTGTTGTTGTCTTAATTGTTGTTGGATTTGTTGTTCGATTTGTTGTTGTCTATTTCTATGCTGTCTTTGGAAAATTTGGTAACCTCCACCAATACCACCTCTTCTTAAATGTTGTGGTGGTTGGTTGTCATTACGTTGTGGCATTATATTCTCATAACCTTCAGCTTGCATTGCTTCGACAATATCAGGAGGTAATCTTTGAATTGCATCTGAATACTCTGATAATAATAGATGTTCAAATACTTGTTGATTAACAGTTTCATATTCGTCCCTAATTGTTTTGGTTAATTTCTCTACCAATGGATCTTTGTTTGATACCTTTTCTAAAACTATTTCTGCATTCTTCTTTAACCATTCTTGAATTTCATTTGGTTGCCACAATTGATAGCTTCTTTCAACGTAAAGACTGATTAAGTGATCGATACGCTTTTCTAATGGATCTTCTGTAAAGAATTTATCATTTTCAAAACATACAGTTTTTCCATTCTTTGCAATTGTTAAACTGACTTTTAATTTCTCTAATAAGGGCTTCAATAACATTGGGAATGAAATTAATGCCTTTTGTAATAATTCATCACTTGATTCAACTTTTGTTTTTTGCTGTTCTTGTTTTGAAGGTCTTTCCTCTTCTTCATCATCTGAATTATTTTGTTGCTTTTGTTTTAATTGATTTTTTTGTTGTTTTTCTAAATAGAATTTTGATAATGCCACTGAATAGGTAAAATTTGGTAATAAAGCTAAACTTGAGGTGGTTGGAGTAACTGATTTAACTTTGGTGTAAAGATCTAAAAGGAACTGATATTGTTTTGATTTAATTGAATAATAATCAATAATTAAACGGATAAATAATGGATCGCTCCAATCCATTGTCAAGAGAATTTTGCAAAACTCTAAAGCAGTACGTGGACAACCTCTTCTACCTAAAATTTGAATATATCTGAAAATTGAAAGGAAACATGACTTATTTTGGTCGTGTTTATATTCGAATCTACAGTTACCATTTAATGGATTGAATAAATGGTGCCAAATACTCTCGAATGCAAATACGGCCATTTCTACAAAATCACTGGCTTGCTGATACTCTGCTGTTTGAAGACAAACCTGACCTAGTTGTAATAATGAATCAATATGATATGGATTTAATCTTAACACTGCTACAATATTCATTGGATCGTGTGTTGCTAATGCGCCATAAAATGCTTCTTGAATCTCTGAATAAGTTTGACCCCACTTAACCTTGAAATATGTAACATCATTATTTCCTGTTGTTGCAGTATTCGATTTATTTGATTTATTTGCAGATTTTAATGTTGGTGATGCTGTTGTGGTGGTTGTAGTTGTAGTATTATCTTTATCTATTTCCATTATCATTAAACCTATAACATCAGGCCATTCTGGTTTTGGTGTAACAAATAAATAATTCTTTTTTCTATTATGGTGAGGATTATTAACTTTTTTTTTTTGACCTTTAATATCTGAACTGTTACATCCGAATAATTTCTTTAACTCATTATCTGGATTTAATAAAGTTTGATTAATTTTAAATAAACTATTAAACTCTTTTAATTTAATTTCTTCTCTAAATATTTAATTTTAAATGTTAATATTTGGTATATATTATGATAATCTATGATTATATATAACATATTAATATAACATACTTTGTTAATGGTGTAGTTGAAATATTTTCGATTGAGTTTAATATTTCTAAATCTTTGTCTATATTTTTATTATTTTGCTTTTTATTTTTCTTTTGTTGTTGTTGCTGTTGTTGTTGTTTTTTATTTTTTGGTTGTGGTTTAGCTGGTTGTTTTTTTGGTTGTGGTATAACCTCTTCTTCAGATTCTTCAGATTCTGATTTATCGCTGCAAATATCATCATCTGAAAAATTTAACATTGAAAACTTTGGCTGAACTGTTTGAATTTCTTCATCTGATTCATCTGTTGAAATTTCCTCATCTGAAACTTCTTTTTGTAATTGTTTTTTTTTTAATGCTCTTGTTGACATTTTATTTATAAAATACAAATCATATATGACTGTGTATAAATCTAAAAAAAATAAAACAAATGAAATTAAAAAAATTTTAAAAAAATTAAAATTAAAAATAAAATAAAAAAAAATTAAAAATAAAAAAAAAATTTTTTGTGTGGGAAATACACCAGAATCCAAAAATAAATGTAAGAATTTAGTATTAAATTGATTATTTTTAAAAAAATAAATAGATAAATTTATATTTATTTAAATTTATAGTTTAATAAATAATATTATTAAAATTATAATTAATTATTATTTTTAGCCCTTGGACCATAATAATTATTCCATTCTACATTTTCTAAAGATCCATTGGTTGGTTTTATATTACTTCTATAGATTACTGAGGAGTCAAAACTTTTACTTCTACGTTTATTAACCTTTTGATTTTCAGATTGTTGTAATTGTTGAACGATATTTGACTGTGGTTTAGTTGGTGATTGTGGTGGTGATTGTGGTGGCGATTGTGGTGGTGATTGTGGTGGTGATTGTGGTGAAATTTGAGGTGAACTAATGACTGATGTTGATGTGATAAATCCTGAACCATCATTGTCATTATTAATATTATTGTTATTGTTATTAGTATTGGTTGTTGTGTTAGAAGTAATTGGGTTTGAAGAAGATGAAACTGATAATGATGAATGAATCTTTATTGGTTGCGGTCTTCCGAAACTACTACCTCCACTATTACTATGTTGTTTTTGATGTTGTAATGAGTTATGATAATTATGATATACCATTGTTGATGAGGATGATTTTAAGCTTTTTGATTTACTTGCAGATACCGTTGGTGATTTAGAATAAAAACCTAATTTTAAACTATTATAAGCTGAACTTACTAAACCATTGTTCTTTCTCTTAAAATCTTGTTCAACAATAAAGCTTGAGCCATAAGATAGTTGACTAATATTTGAATAACCCATTAATGATACATAGCTATCACGAATTGATTCAGAAATTTCTCTACTTAAATCTTTTCCAAATTCAATAGTTTCTCCCTCTGGTATTGGTATAATATATTGATTAAATGAGCAATCTGCAATAACACTGTCATCGATTTGATTGTTTGTTGAGTTGTCATTTGAAGGATCTGATAGGGTTGTGTTTGTTGGTGAGCTTGATAATATACTATTGTCCATAGAGTCATGCAAAGATCTGCTACTTCCACTGGCACTGCCACCAATATTACTTGTATTAATAGGTTGGGGTGATGATTTTGATGACGATGATTTTTTGTAAGTTGGTAAATTATCTTTTGAATTATTTGGACTAAACTGTTTTGATTTATGATAGATTTTAATACCATAAGAGGTTTTTTTACCATTATCTAATGTTACTGTTCCCATTTGAATTCTTTTAATTGAGGTTAAATTAAACTGTTTGAAATGGACGATTTTATTTTCGTTAAAATTGTATTTACATCTAACAAGCCAGGATGGTGTTAATAAAAGAATACGCTCTTGCTCTTGATTTCTTTTATTGATGGATGTTACGATCCAGGCATTAATAAAACCTTCGCTACTACCGGAACCATTGTTCTCTTTGCAACCAGAACGTAAAAAGTGATCAACACAATTATTGATAGCATTCATACGAGACTCGCCCCAGTCAACTTCTTTTTGAATAAACTTATAATGGTTAGTTTCTACAGTAATTAAACCCAAGAATAAATCAATTGATACTTGTTTAATTTTATCCAAAAAGGTGTTGATATAGTAACGTGTCAATGAGTTAACGCCATCTCTAAAAACCCCTTTGGTATTTCTTTTACCGGTTCTAGTGTAGTCACCCTTTAGTGCTTGAGTACCAGCGTATTGGAAGCTAATAGCATCACCATTATTTGCCCAAGCCAATTTAACCTGACGTGTTCCTGCTTTATTGGGATCTTTAATCTTCCACTCTATACCCAATGTCTTTAATTGTTTTTCCAGTACGGATACACCGATCATTGATTGAACCAAATTAGTACGATCTAAACAATCTAAGCAATTAGTTCTAACTAGACCATTTTGATGAGAAACATAACCCTTTTCGGAATTTCTTTCGGTATAACCTATTCTATTGATGCTATCTTCCAGATTATCAATTAAAATATCAACACGATCGAATCTATTACCCTGGCAATAATGATGGAAATCGAATGCTATAAATTCAATCTTTTCATATCCAGATTGTTGAGTCATTTGCTTGTAGAGGTCGCCCAAATCTGATTCTGATCCTTTTTGGTCCAATAATGTTACGATTGATTGAGGTCCATAAAGCTTTAATTGTTCTTCAAAGTGGAGTTTATATGATGCCATATTTAATATATTATCCGGATTAATTTTAATTTCTGGTTTCATCTTCATACCTGATTGCTCCCAATTTAATGGAATACTACCTCTTGTTTGAACTAATGAATAGGTAATCTTTTTTAATGTACTTGTATCTTGATGTGATATAATTTGCTCAGTTTCAACATAATTTGCTACATTTCCTAATAAATCAGAACCCCTGGTATTATATCTTGTACCTGCTCTAAATCTACTTCTTCTTGATATTAAAACAAATTCAATATCATTTTTATCTGGAAAAAAATTAAATATTTCTGCATCTAAAATAAAACAATTATTAATATTTATTTCCAAAATAATAAAAAATAATGATTTTATAATTAATTTTACTTACATCCTCTAATTAATGGTAGGACCCAATTATAAAAACCATTTTCAATTAAACTTTTTTGTAAATGTCGATTCCAGTAAAATCTATTATTAAAAACTTCAAAGAGATGATAAATTTGTTTTTTACAGCTATCATTTCTTGTAGGATCATCTTCTTTAATACTATTATTAATATTGTTGGTGTCGTTACTATTATTAAAATATTTTAATTGATTTTCTATATTATCTGAAATGTTAAAGTCAAAACAATAATAAAAATTTGATTTTAATAAACTTTTTAATGATTTTTTATATGTTGATTCCATTTTACGGTCGTGTTCTGAAAGTTCGGTTGGGTTATTATTAATTAAAATTAAATTACAATTTTCTATACGATAAATATATTTTCCACTAAAGGTACCAACTAAATTTTGACCAGTAATAACAATTAAATATGGTCCCGATATTAAATTAATTATACCGACAATTCCATATGCTAAAATTGAATTACTATTACTATTAATTATATTTGTATTATTACTATTACTATTAGTATTGCCAATGCTATTATTACTACCACCTAAATTTGCATTTCCATTACTATTTATATTGCTATTATTTATACTACTGCCACTACTATTTAAACTGCCACTACTATTATTTAAACCACTACTATTATTTGTATCACTTTTGCTACTAGATGATTTCTTTTTAACATCATAACTATTTTGTTTTAAATATTCTGTTGAGTAATATTGTGATGAAATTGAAAAATTTGATCTATCTATTACTAATGATTCTATTGATGGATTACTACTAATTGAGTTGGCTGGTTTAATTACAATTTTATCTTTTAATTGATAAACTGACATTACTCTATATAATTCATGATATTTAATTTTAAAATCAAAATTGAATGGTAATGGTTTATTTCCGCTATTATCACTATTATTATTATTATTACTATTTGGTGTACTACTGTTTATATTATTGTTGTAATCGATATCTGAGATAATTTTTTCATTTAAAAGATTTTCTAATTCATCGATTTCGTTGTTACTATTACTATTACTATTATTTAAAAATACATTGTTATTACTATTACTATTTGATTCCTCATCAAGTTCAAATAAATTATTATTGCGCTCTATACTATCATTACTATTAAAAATTTTGTCATAGTCATCATTGGGATCTGTTGTTATTTTTTGTGGTGATTGTTCTTTTATTTTAAAATTTAATAATAATTGGGGTATATTTGAAGGTGGATATGACGACATTATTTTGCTTGAACCAAAAATACTAACAGTTGGAGCAACCTCCAAACTATTATCCTCTATAATTTGATTATGTGATGTTGGTAGTTGGTGTGGTTGGAATCGTTCTTCACTATTCTGTCTTTCAAATGTTGGTGGTAATATTATTGAGGATGTTATTAAAGGTGGTGCATCCCTTCCTATACTACTATTGTTATTATTATTATTATTATTATTATTATTATTATTATTAATGGATTGTGATAATATTGAGGATGATGGTGAGGATGGTGAGGATGGTGGTGAAATTGCTAGATCGGTTTCAGAATGTGATGAGTTGGATGAAGATGTTATTCTACGATTGCCTATTGTAATAGATGGTCTTCCACCACTACCACTATTATTGTTATTGCTATTGCCATTGCTATTACCACCACTTGATAAATTAATACTATTGGATAATTTAAAACTACTCATTTTATTATTTTGTAAATGGAGTTATAAACTGAATAATTATTTTTATTTGAAATAAATTTAGATTTCTATTTTTATTTATTTTTTTTATTTGAAAAAAAAAAAAAAAACAAAATTTATTATAAATTGGTGGTGGGTTATATTTTTATTAAAACTAAGTTGATTTTACTTTATTTGCTTATTGATAAATGGGGGGTTGTCGCAAATACCCAAAAACATAAAAAAAAAAAAAAAAAAAAAAAACCTAAAATAAAAAAATAAAAAATAATTTTAAAAAATAAAAAAAATAATTTTAAAAAAAAAAAAAGAAAAAACAAAATCTTTTTTTTATTTTTTTTTTTTCATTTAATTCTGACTTAGAGAGGGTCATTTATGGACGCTATACTAAATGAGAGCTTCTATAATTAATTAAAGATTCGAAATGAAATAATCATTAAAAATTGAAATTGTTATTCCATTCTTGTGTATTTTTTTTTTTCCCAACTCGAAAATTTAAAAAAAAAAAAAAAAATAATAAATAAAAAATAAAAAATTAAAAACAAAACAAAAATAATAAAATAAAATAATAAAAATCTAAATTTATAATAAGCAAATTTGATAACATAATTAAAAAAAAAAAAAAAAGGATAAAAAAAATAAATAAAAATATATATTGAATGGAGTAAAAAAATAAAAAAAAAATATTGTTTGTTTTAATGATAAACTAAAATAAACAAACAATATTTTATTTATATTATTTAAAAATTTATGATCCTAATACTGAAAATTGATCTGATGGAGTATTTTTAATGATAAACTAAAATCTCTTGAGGGTTGATATAAATTTTCATCTTCTATTTTATATATTTTATGATAATACTGATAATTTTCAGAAGATACCTTTTTGGTTTTATATATGTTGTAAGTAAAGTAGTGTTTCATTAAAAGCAAAATTTTGACTAACTATGATGGCGATGAAACTTGGAGCGAAAAAAGCAGATTATATTTAAAAAATAAAATTACAAAAAGATATAATTTAATATATAAAAACCATATTTGTTTATAGTAACCTTGGTGATTAAATTGTTTGGGAATTATACCAAGTTGTAAAAGATCAAAAAATCTATTCTTTAAACTTTATAAATATTAGTTATAGGTATTAATTGCTATTATGATTTTAAATCACATCAAACACCTTTATTATAAACTTTAAAAATATATTTGTTAAAAATTTTTTATGTTAATGTTTTAAA